TGAGGATGTGGGGGCAAGTTTGTGCGACAACAGAGGGACATGAGGGCAAAAAAGAGCGGGGATCCAGGTGGAAAAAGGGTTCCAGCGATCTCGCACAACTCGCTCTTCTAGCTGGTCCAACTTCACGAGTCGTTTTCCTCGATGGCGGTCACACAAACAAAACGCGTCGGTAAGGTTCCAAACAGGAAATAAGGATAGAGTAGAGCGGATGTAGATTTGACCAATCAGAGGCCTCCTGTCTGCGGCAATCTCTGCGGTTACCCACAATTTTGGAGAGTTGCACCAAAGTGTCTGAGGAAGGGGCGGAGGCGCAGTTTCGTTCACTGCGACACATACGCAGACAACCTGGTTTCTGAGTATAAATCAGCCTTTGAAGTACAAGAAACTTTGAATGATCCATCATATCAAGAGGTTCTGAATTTGTTCCCAACTGTTTGAGAACAGTTTGGATATGAACTTTCCGACATGACAGTGCATCACGCACAAAGCAAGGTCTATGTATAAAGGCATTGAGGGGAGAGTTTGGTGTGGATGTGACAGGACTGCGCAGAGTCCCAACCTCTATCCTATTTAACAGCTTCAGCATGAATTCAAGCAGAGATTGAAAGCTAGACCTTTCTGTATCCACCAACATCAGTCTATATCACCAAAATGTACTTCTAAAACCATGGTAACAATTCTCATAAATAAGCCTCTAAACTTTCAAACTGATTTTCCAGAGAAGCTACAGTAGTTGTAGCTGCAAGGTCAAAGGTTGAACCCCATAGATAAGAAATGGGCTGTTATTTAAGTTCATATGTGAGTCAAGGCAGGTGAGAAAATACTTTTGACAACCCTACAGGGGTTTGAAACTTGAAAGTGATAGTTTGCTAATAAAATTGCTTTTGTTTAACTTTTCCTCATAGCAACAGCGTCCCATTAACCTGACAACAGCCAGATGCATGTCTCCCTCCGCCTAGCTCCACTCACATACATCTGGGAACCCGCTCATTGAAAGTGATTTCCCCAACTGAATTTATGGTCTGTCCAATCAGGACGCAGGGCGGGTGTGTCCTGGAGTGGAGAAGCGACCGTGAGATTCCAACAACAATGGCGGCTTGCATTGAGGAAGCAAGCGTTAGCATTGATGCTGCTATTTCTTCTGTGTTGTCCAATCTATCTGATATTGTTTCATCAAAAGAACATCAGAGAATGGCTTTGAAGGCTTTTGTTGGTGGAAACTATGTTTTCGCCCTTCTCCCGACCGGATTTGGCAAGAGCTTGATCTACCAAATGGCTCCTCCTCTCACAGCGTCACGGGTTAGCTTCGGTGTGAGTGGTTGAAATAGCACGTCAATAAAGATGACAGACAAGTGGCTTGTCCAATCATATGCAAGGAGTTTTGATGAGGCCCAGCCTTCAGTAAAGGCAATTCCTATGGCGGGTTCCCAGATGTATGTGAGTGGAGCTAGGCGGAGCGAGACATGCATCTGGCTGTTGTCAGGTTAGCGTCCCGTAAGGGTTTTCATCTTTTCACCTATAATCCATGAACTACTACTCTGCAGCCAGCTGAAACCGGATTATTTTAAGTTTTCCTATGAATTGTGCTCCACATTTTGCCTGCCCTCTCAATAAATGTAAATTCCTTTTAGATGTAAATCCCTTTATTGTCCCACAATGGTGAAATTCACTCTCTGCATTTGATCCATCCCCTTGGGGAGCAGTGGGCTGCCATTGTGTGGCGCCCAGGGAGCAGTGTGGGGTTAAGGGTTTTGCTCAGAGACCCAGAGGAGAAGGATGTGGGGATTGACCCCGGTACTTGCAACCTTCTCAGAGCACAAGCACGCTGCTCTAACCACTAGGTCAGCAATAAATCACTAACTACGCTCTATTTTTGATGCAAATTTTTTAGTTCCTGTGCTGGCACCATACTGTGGGTACATTTAGCTTTTATAGCCCCATTAGCTTGAATTTGAAATACGTCTGGAAACAGGCATACTAACATTTATGGATCAATAGAGCGTAGGATAGAAAACATGTCCTAATAAGTCTCAAGTGTTGCATCAGGAGCAAAATTCTTTTTTTCTTTTTTACTGAATCTATCAGGGTTACAGTGTAAAACCACAGATGCAATTTATTAGGACTGTACTTTGTCAAACAAAAACACTTTATCAAAAGTCAGAAAGTTTATATAAAACGCACAAAGAGATGGTAAATGGCATACAAGCAACTTAGTAGAATTGCATAAGTAAAGCAGCTTATAAGTGACTTTTTGTCCAATGTATAATAAATGAAAGAATCATGTAGATTGTCAGAAATCCTCATTTTGTTTGTAATGTGATCAGTTTATGCCTTTGGAAGTCACTGAAAAATCCCCAATTTTGAAACACTAAATCACAAATCAGGAACCCACGACTTTCAGCATGATTTGCTCCGACCCACCACTGACTGGACTGTTTTTTTTTTTTTCACCAGAGACACACCATATGTAAATGGCCTCAGGTAACAATGGCAGTAAAACTACTTGGTGTGGACGCTGTTACTAAGTGAGAGAGAGCAAAACTTGAAGCTATAACAGGAAGGCTAAACATACCACAGCAACGATGCTTCCTCCCACAGTCCAAAAACATGTCTGTTAGGTTCAATGGCTCCTCTAAATTCTCCTTAGGTGTGAGTGTGTGCATGAATGGTTGTTTGTCCTGTTTGTCTCTGTTGGACTGGAGACCTGTCCAGGGTGTACCCCGCCTCTCGCCCAGAAAATAATTCTGCAAACAAATTGCCTTTGTTCTATTTTTTTTTTGTTACCACCTACAAAGCTGAAGAACATTGAGTGTTATTAAAAAGAAACTTTGCATGTTGGAGGAAATGTAGAAATCAAAACGCAAACCATTATCATGTCTTCTGGGATGCCCAATTATAAAAGATTACTGGAAAGAGATAAATAATGCCTTAAAAGACATTTTCAAACTGAACATTCCTTTGGAGATCAAGTTTATGTATTTTGGTATAATTCCTCAAGAAGCCTCAAAAAGAAATAAATATGTAGTGACTATTTTATTAACAGCAAGTAAGAAAAACATTACAAGAAAATTGTTATCACAGGACAAACCAACTTTGGATGATTGGATCCACATAATGTTTAACATATATAAAATGAAAAAAAATAACAGCCTCTCTCAGTCACAAGGCTGAACAGTTCTGTCAGTGGTGGCAGATTTGGGTAGACTATGTAAAACGATCTAATATCAATTTTAGAGACCAAACTTGATTAAATCTCATCAACAATCCACTCTCCTTATATGTTAAATTGAATTAAGTTTCTTTCATTATCGTTTCCTTTTTTAGTTTTTTAGTTTTTTGTTCTTGTTATTTTTCTTATTTCATGGTTATAATCCTTCTCGGGGAAGTGACATCACTGCTTTGTTAGGCCTCCTATAACGCAATGCCTTAATTATTCACTTTATTTCAAATGTTGGAGTTAATCCTGTGAAGTAGAGGCCTACGTCTATGTAAATGATACTTTCCTGAGAACAGTGGTGTCAAAAGTACACACATTTGTTACTTAAGTAGAAGTATAGAAACTGCAATTTAAAAACACTCTGTTAAAAGTTGAAGTATCAACTTGACCTCTTTACTCTATTAAAAGTGAAATAGAATGTGCTCCAAAAACTACTTAAAGTATAAAGCAACCTTTAAAAAAAACAGCCAGATGCCACTATGTGGATTGAAAGCTAAATTTTTCAACTATTTTGAAAATTTCTTTGAGAAAAGGCCAAGGATGAGGGAGGTGTTGTTGGTCTCTGTCTCCATCTCCCACTACAATCTCGCCTGCATCTGACATCTTTTTCTGAATCAGACATTGTAGCTTGGCATAGCCTTTGCAGTTTTTACTTAGAGGCTTGTTTTTCTGACAGAAGGCTGACAGGAAAGGGTGCCATGAGAGAGGGAAAGAGACATGCAGCAAAGGACCACAGGCCGGATTCGAATCCGGGTCGGCTGCGTCGAGGACTAAGGCCTCCGTACATGGGTCGTGCACGCTAACTACTGCGCCACCTGCATGCCCTCGCGTTTGCAGTTTGAAAAACACCTGCTTGCTTCTGATAATTTCCTTTAGCTATTCAATTAGTGTTTTCGACTCATCCAATTACACTAGTTTTCACTAGATGTTGATGGCCAAATGATCTGCATTGGATCGCCCACATGACATGAAATAAATATTTACAAACATTAAACGGAAGCCAAGAGTAATGTTTTCTTTTAAAAATGTATGGAAGTCAGAAGAAGGAAGAAAAATAAGTAATGGAGCCAAGCATAGATACCTAAAAAGTGTACTTAAGTACAGCAACGAAGTATTTGTACTTCGTTACTTGACACCTCTGCCTAAGAATCAATAAGGACAAAAAATAAAAAGAAACTATGCATTTGGATTTCCTTTAAACGTGACAGCTATTGCTCTCCAACATGACAAACTACGGAGCTCCTAAAGGGACATAGAAAAATAACTTTTCCAAGATCTTGCTGATGTTTTAGGGGCTCTGTACTTTTCAAATGTCTCTCACTTATATTAAATCCATGTATGCAGCCAAGTACACATTTAATGTTTATACATGTTAGGCCAATACCAAAATAGAAATCAATAAACTTCTCCCATGGATGACGCGTTTGCGCCTCTATTGACATACAAAAACTTTTTGCGAGATCTCGCAATACTTTTTGCTAGATCTCGCAAAATATTTTTTCCCCCCCTCTATGTCTCTTCAGGGGCTCTGTAACAAAAAAGCCCAATAGTCAATATATGACCAGAAATATTTTCCCATTTTTGTCATCTTAGGTTTGTATCATGTTAGGTATTACTGACTGGCAGGCAACTTATTCAATGATCATTCTGTATATACACAAACAAAAACAGCTAATATTGGCCAACTCCAGTATCAGTTTTTAGGGACCTTCGGCATTCTACCAGATGCTTCTGATTGGACTCTAAAGCAGACCTTTGACTCTACAGAGCCTCATCAACATACCTTTAACCGTTTCACCACCTCATCGTTGCTTATTTTATCCGTAATCTCCTTCACTCCAGGAGGATAGACGATCGTTCCGTCCCCCGCAGGCTTCTGCTGTTGCGGGAACTCCATGCTTGTTGATGTGCGGTCCACACGGTCTTCTACTGGCCTCTATGGGTCACAAAACTTCAGTTCAGCACAACCATGCTAGTCCACCCAACAAAACCTCGCATTTCGCTTCACTCCCTGCCGATAATCGTCACATTTGACGATTATTAAAATTCATGCTATCAGCGAACCGGCATCGGACATGTTATTAGCTTGAATGCTAAGATAACACAGCTAAACATCAGCTGGATGTCTTTACGTTTATGTTTATACAAAACCGTACAGAATTAAGAACGCTTTTAAATGATATTCCGAGTCAATAATATGTATCTGAAGATTCATGTTGCTAAAAATAATGTTTTTTTGAGCTGCAAAATCGGGGGATCTCCACTGTCATAGAAGAGTGGCTAGCATTTTGCGGGAAGGAAGTGATGTTAGCCGCGCTAACTGGTTAGCATAGGCCTCAAACTATCCAGGTACCCATCACATCTACGTCCAGACAATCACAGAGGAAGTCACCAATCCTTCCAGCTTTCTTTTAAATATCAATATTCGTTATTAGTCCGTGGATTTCCAACTAATGGAACTACTTTGAGAAGTTTAAAAATACACCCGTTTTACTTGTTACAATCTTTTCCCCCAACTTCCAAGCATCGGTCCGTAGAGCCGCTAGTTTACAGTCAGAGCTGCTGCTGCTGCTACCGTCGCCGCTGCGCCTCTTCACTCACCAACAACTTGCCCCAACGGATGAATATGAATAGCCCAATTACTGCTAAATGTATTCTTTAAATAAACAGCTACGACCCTGAACCTGGAATACACGTCAAGTTCATTTCCTTAGCATTTACCTTTCAATCGGGCCGTTTTTAATTCATTAGTCTGACTCAGATAGGTTTAGTTTTCGGCACAAAGCTCTCTGTCCGTTCAGTCAATGTAGGATGGCTGTGTGCAGAGCGCCCCCGCACGGTCTCACGGTAGCACTGCAGGTCTGATGGCGGGAGACGGAAACAAATAAGAAGCGCCACAACCCAATGCTAGGACTCTTTTTCTTATGTTCTTCTATTTTTAGAACAGAAAACAAATTGCAAAGTTAGAATCAAAATACTCCACAGAGTGATTATAATTTTTTGGTAAAGAGTCTTGACCAATATTCCAAGTACACCTGTAGATATTTTCGTTACAGTTGTAAAGCTGCGCAAAATTAATGTATTTTATTTTATTGTTTCAAAAAACAGCGACATCTACCGATGTCCCTACTGATGCACCGCTCCTATCCACCAAACACAGAGGCGGTATAATATGGGGAAATTCTAACATCTATCATTTGTATTAACAACAAAAATAATAAAAATGATAGTACATTATATTTGACTGACTGATCAAGAATGGATCCACTGATATGATTTTCTTTTTTTTCCTTATATTAAACATTATCAGAACATGTACATGGTGCATAGGGGGATTTTATACATATGACAGCAAGAAGATATACAGAGATCTTTAAGATATTAAATGTATTGTTTCCACTGCTTTCAAATTAATGGAATAATCAATAACAGGATAGTACGAATTCAAATCTTTTATAAAGATAGAAAACGGAGGTTTGTTACAACTGAAATGAGATTTGCGTTTATAATACTTAGCAAGCATGATTTGTCCTCTTAAATGCCTTCTACTGTTAAAGTTACATAACGCAAATATTGTTATTGCTGCTTTAACATTTCACAATAATGAGTTCTTTGTTCTGGAAGCGCTCTTAAATGGTTTTACATGCGTTCAGTGGCGATCCTTTTCTCTGAAAGAGTTTTTCCTATGAAACTAGTTTTTTAACTTCTTAAAAAGCTGTTGGTCTGGTAGTCTGGAACTTCAACTAAAAAAGTAAAATAATCGAGCTTTTATTTTGAAGTCGCTTTTTGCAGCGCGTCCGACTGGTGCGTTAACCGGAAGTTGTAAAATCCGACGCAATTATTGCGCCGGAGCGCTGTACATTCTTGCACCTGAGTTTCTCCAGTGGATATTACGGTATAATGGTAACCGCTGACAACTACTCTTTCGCGACTCCCCAGTCTGTAACGGCTGGTGACAGCAGCCTTTTCTGGCTGTAGCTCGTCCACGTTATGCCCCGTAGAAAGAAAAACGGACAGAGCCCAGCCAGGCAACCTAATGGGCCACCCGAGGAAGGACGACCCGTGGGATATGGCTTTTTTCAAAACAGCGCCGAAAAGGAGAAAATCCTTAAAAGAATGCAGGAGATGTTTTCACATCTGGACCCAGAGGTTATACACATCGTGCTCTCAGAGTGCGACTTTAAAGGTACCCAAAACACACGGAAGTTTCGCTGCCCAACCTGCTGGTTCAGTTAGTAACTTGGCTAACCAGTTAGCTTGTTGGCTGTACAAATACAAATCATTAGTGACTAGTCGTTTCCTGTGACAGTACCTTAACTAATATGATAAATAACAGGAGGCTGCTTTTAAGTTCAGCTAACTCATACTCCTGACAACTTTACATGCTACTTTATATTGATAATGCACAATATTTGTAAGTCTGATAGTCTACTATTTATTGTTTTAAGCAGTTTGCCTTTAAGCCTTTTTTTCCCCTAAATGTATCTTTTAAGACCATCCCTTACCAGTTATCAAAGCAACACTGAGCTTTTATATATATATATATATATATATATATATATATATATATATATATATATATATATATATTGTCCATCCTTGGTTTAACACCTCTCTGTAACCAACTTCTGTCTTTACTGAAACTTTGACCTATGGATACAATTATAGTCATGTCATATTTTTCTTTTAAAAGTGCTGTTAGCTTTTTTTTTATCTTGTTTTCAAGCCTTCCTGGAATAAGTAGTGCAGAATAGACTAGGACTGGGTAAAAGATATGGACTAAAAAACTTAACCTCAATATATTGTGATATTTATTATGATACAAGTGCTAATAAGAAAAAAATATGGTAAGCCTAATTATAGTGTTTGTGTTTTCCATTGGATCGTATGCCTTAAAGACATGTTAAAAACCTCACAAATATAAATACTATTCTGAAAGCGGAGGATTTATACACTAACTATAAAGGTTTTAACACATTTTTATTGTTGTTATATGTTGAACTCTGTGTTTTTAATTTGTATTAATTTTGATTATTTATTGTTTATGCACACTGACTTTAAGAATGGTAATTGGCCTGTACTAATACAGTGCTTTCTTGAGACTTTATACTTTATTAGGGATGCACGATATAATCGGCCCCCTATCGGTATCGGCCTTAAAACTGAATATCGGACATCGGCCACCCCACCGATATTTAACCCGATATTTGATCAGCTTCTGAGTTTCTGAAGTCTAAAAAAAATAAATGAATAAATACTATTTCTTCTTCTTCCTCAAAAACTTCTTTTTTACAGACTTAAAAACTTCTAAAGACGAGGGAAAAAATATTGATACAAAAAAATATCACAATATCTTCATATGCTGATATATTGCCATTTAAAAACACCATATCGATCTATTTTACTAATGAAATATTGCTAAATTTCATCGTTATGCTACGAAATCCCCCGAAAATTCACAAAATGTTGCCATATTTTTATATGTTGATATATTGACGCGGTATCAATCTATTTTACTAACAAAATCTCAGAAGAATTTGCAAAATATCACGAGAGTTTGTAACAGAACGATGATATTTCACCAGATTTTGAAAGTAAAATAGATTGATACCACGTTTTTAAAAATCAATTTGATATCAGCATATGAAAATATATTTGAGTATATTATTTTTCAAAGTGTCAGTAATGGATAACAAAACTGCTATTTTCAATGACTACTTATTTTTATCCAGCTTTAACATCGGTATCAATATCGGTTATCGGCTACGTGAGTTTTAAAATATCGGCACATCGGATATCGGCCAAAATCCCAATATCGTGCATCCCTATACTTTATACTACATTCAGTCATTCATTCATTCCCTCACACTGTAGCCACAGCCACCTTGGGGCTCTCTGACCATAATCAGAAGGCAATTTGTGTGAGGTGTCTTGCAAAAAGACACAATGACAATGAAAGCCATAGCCGGGGGTTGAACCAACAACCCTTTGGTTGCAGGGCAAACTCCTGCATCCATTGCCTCTGCCTCCCTGCTCTCGACGTTAAGCTTAGCAGAAAATTGAAAAACTTCCTGCTGAAGAACTGTTGAAAAAACTTAAAATCATGTCACAGGCTCTGCATTACACTGATAAAGCCAAACCAAAATACTGTATATTTGCACCATATATATTCATGCTCTGAACTTCCATATCAATGCGTTTTTTCTCCATGTTTTTTCCTTCCACACTGTTTACATTCGATCACTGCTGATCTTTATGGAATGGAAATGTTTATTCACTGCTGCTCATTGACTGTCTAAACGCTGTACAAAACAAAATTTCGTTTTATATATTCTCTGTGTATACAAATTACAATAAAAGTACTGATGATGTAATGATGATGATTGAGGTACATCAACTCTCTCACTAACTTTGCCGTCTGTCTGTGCCTCAGTTGAAAATGCGATGGACTCTCTGTTGGAGCTGTCTGATGCGGCGGAAGTCGTCACCCCGTTCCCTCCTCCTGTTTCTGGCTTCGAGCGGACTGCAGCGGCCTTGCTCGGCCCAGATCGCTTTTCTGAGCCCAATCCAGATGGACACCCCCACAGGACGGCACATCGACCCTCCTCTCCTCCCTCTGACACCTTGCTGACGGACGATCTGGACCTGCTCATTGATCAGGAGTTGGAGACGCTTACCAAGCGGCAGGATGTTAGCGATGCACCGCCTAGCTGCATGTCTTCATCTTTACCTATGTTCCCCCAGCAGGCTCTCCCAGAGCTACTCCAGAGCAGCATGGAGGCTGCATCCGAGGAGCGTTTTACCTTCCAACCGCCCCTGTCAGATGGTTTGGTGGAAAATCTGTCCGGACCTTCCTCTCCTCTCAACCAGCTCAGCACATGGGGGGATGAAGTCAAAGAGGCACAGAAAGATGTTCTGGACTTTACACACCTGACAAAAGGAGGTTCTGCAGGCAGCCCTAAACCCTCTTTGGACTTAGCAGCTGCAGGCCGTCCCTCTGCTTTCCAGGTGTATAAAAAGCAGGAGACCACAGAATGGACTTCAGCCACACTCTCTGATTCGTTAGTCAGTGGAGCAAGACCTAAAGTGAGTTCATTAAATGGCAACCCACACAGCTATGTGCCGCCACCCTGGAACGTGGCTGCACCGACGTTTTGTCCCCATGACCCCGGAAACCAGAGGCCAGCCTTCATCACGCCGGTGGTGGCTCAGGGACCCTCCTGTTGGCTCAACCCTCCCAGACATGCCTCCTTCTGGCTGAATCAGCACCCCCTCAGTAAAGCGTCCCTCCAACCAGGTGCTACTGTCCTAAAGTCATTGGTCCCGCAGGCCGCCCTGCAGGCCCCTGCTCCTCACAGCAGGTTGCAGTTTCAAGGAAAAGTGCTTGTCTTGCTTCGTGGTGCTCCAGGTTCTGGCAAGTCAACCCTGGCAAGGTAAACAAGCTCTGATATCCTGTAGTTGTAGATGTGTTTGTGAGTTACTGGTATTAAGTGGACATTTCAGTTCAGGGTAATGAACTAAGAAGATAATCGTATAGATTTATTTTTTTATTTAGAAGAAGTTGTTGGCTCAACAGGGCTCATTTTAAATATAGACGTGAATAAATGTGTTGTATCGTGATTCATAGAGCATAACAATTTAATCCATTCAGACAAACCTCAGATACTTCAAAATATTGTTTTGAACTGACTTGTTTTATTTAATGAGGTAAAAAACAAATTCAAAGTAAGCTGGCCCTGTATGAGACGTAATCATGTTACTTGTCAAATAATGACTTAACTGGGACTACCCATATTACAGATTGTATTGCATACAGAAGAGCTGAAATACACCAGCTACACTCAGGCTGGATTTATGCTTGATTTCTGGAAATGAAACCCTTAATATCACTATTGTTTTTTAATATATTTATATTAAAACTGGATGTAAACATAAAGTAGGTAAAGTAGGAGCTCAAGAACAGCTGAGGAACGTGCTCTCTGCAAACGGCTGGAAAACATTGGATCTCCATACAACTGCAGAGAAACATAGGTTACTTAGGTTACCAAGGTTACTTAGCCACTGAAAATACAAATATCGGTCAACCTGCTAACAATCGGCATTTGGCTCCCTTCCCACTGGCAAAAAAGACGTGTATAACCTGTCGCTGGAAAGCTGCATGGCTGATGACACCATCACCCTGGGTTAGCGTACATGTCACCAGTGCGACAGAAATCAGGAAAGAAAACAATGGAGATCAGCGTGTAAGGATGCTAGGGTGTAAAAAGTGTGCCTTATTTTTTTGCTTTTTATCTGTTTAAATTCCTCTCACCAGTGGTGCTCCATGTTGATCGAATGTACACAGAGTTCTTTCAGCTTGTTAGATCAGAAGCGATTGGCACGTTGTGTTGACCTCTGTATGTTGTGTTCAATGGTATCACATGAATTAGTGGGTCAACCTGGCTCTGGTGTTCCCACTGCATGCCAATCAGAGCTGAGGTGATTTTAACGCTTACTTACTTGACGAGTTCAAAGACAAGAATCGCTCCTTACCAAGAAGAAAACAAATGCCTGTTTAACGTTTACCACAAAAGAAAAATCTTGTGATCGCAAAGAATTTCTTTGAAAATATTCTGTTTACTGAGAAGACATACAAGAATTAAAACAAACACAGCACTGCTTTATGAATTTAAATAGAAATGAGTAAAATAATACACATTTCACAGGAGTTACTTATTTGGAATGATTAATAGATCAATTGATGAGTGCAAGAAAAATTAAAAACATTTTTTTTTTCATTTGGTGCGCCCTGCAGCTGACATTGCTTTACTGTACCACTAGATTTCTGCTCCAGCCATCTGTGGTTATATGCCTCTTTGCAGAGCCCTGTGGGATCATAACCCTGATGGAGTTGTGCTGACCACTGATGACTACTTCATTCGTGGTGGACGGTACCAGTTTAACCCCGCAGCTCTGGGGGAAGCCCATGAGTGGAACCATAAACGAGGTTTATATGCATATTAATATAAAGTTCTCTCTGTGACCCTTGTGGAAATTAAATCCTCTAACTGAGGCATGTTTTTCCTTGTATTTATGCGGTTTATGATCGCACTTTCTGTTTCTCTTGGTTTTTAAATCGTGTCTTACAGCCAGAGAGGCTTTTGAGAGAGGAATGAGCCCCATCATCATCGATAACACCAACATGCAGGGATGGGAGATGAAACCCTATGTGGCTCAGGTCGGTTAGCTAGGGAAGAGGTGGTTCTTTTTATCACATCATAGATTTTTATCACATCGGCTACATAGAACTATGTTATTAACTGCATAAAATACTCTCTGCGGTCTGCTCTAGGCATTGAAACATGGATATAAGGTGCTGTTCAAAGAGCCGGATACTTGGTGGAAGACCAAGCCCAGAGAACTGGTGAGGTAAGCCGCAGGAGAACGTCTGCCTTTTTGTTTATCATGAACAATGGTGCTCCTGAGGATAATCTGCTATGATTGTGCTTCCTGTGTGTGTTAATGTGCAGGCGTACCACCCATGAGGTGCCCATTGAAACCATCCGTCGCATGCTGAATGAATACGAGCCCTTTGTCACAGTCCAGTCCATCATGGGCTCACACATGCCCGACTTTAAACAGGCTCTTTTAAAGGAGGACTGCCACTCACTGTGAGTCTTTATGCTCAGAGTTCTGTGTTTACACCTTGAAGCTTTCTCTGTCTTTTCCTGAGAAGTGATCACTCGGGAAAAACTCTTATATAACACTTCTTAATAGGGATGGGACGATTTATGAAAACTGTCCGAACCGTTCGGTTCGACTGTCTCGGTTCGGTTCGCGTGTGTTTCGTTCGGTTCATGCGCTGCTCCTTTTTCTCATAGGTGAAGCGATTACACTCCAGAGCAGAAGGTGGCGGTGCTGCAACCAAAGCCAACCACCAGTAGTAAACAAGGAGAAGAAGAAGCGAAGCAGCTTAGCCGGTGTAGCAGGGGAAAAAATCAGTTGTTGTGGAGACAGGAGTTGGAAGACGCGCCAGCAGGACTTTATAGGTCTACTGTATGGGAGCGCTTTGCATTTAGAGGGACCTACGATGACGGCGGAAAGAAAGTTGTGAATAAAAGTGCAACAGTGTGCAAGCATTGTGCAACACGTTTTGTTTATGCTAACAGCAACATGACCAACATGTCATGCTAACCCCGAAATCCCTCATACTCCGTCAGCAACCCCCGCTGCGCTCCAGACCGGCTGCTCAAAGCAAAGCCTACAGCCCCCACTGTGGCTCCCGTCCGCTCCGCTCTGAGTCCCTTGGAGATGGTAGAGAGCATGCGTGAGATGATTAAATTCAAAGCAGCAAAACATACGGAAATGATTCAGGGTTTCCGCGGATCATTAAAATAATTACTATCCATTATTTTTTGGGGGATTTTTTCATTAATTTCATAAATTTTTAGCCTAATCAAGATATTAGTGTTTTTTAGATCAAGGACACCGCTCTCATTCCTTTCCCAAATCTTTGCCTTAATGAAGATGACTTTTCATCCTGATAGAGAAACTTTCCTTAATAGATGAACTATTTGGAAAAACATTAGTTCGGACACGGAACAGGCAGGTAAAACTATGGTGTAACAGACAAACACATCATCAAAAAGAATAATCCTCACAGCTTGTTATTTTTTTTATGGATTAAAAGAAGAGTTGGGTATTCTCTTGATGGTCGTGATTTTTTTTTTTTTTCAGAATAAAAGGGAATGTTATTAGTGTTTTGCCTCAGACCTGCTGTAGAGAAATTAAGTGCCTTTGAGAAAGTACTGAAACCCCATTAAAATGATTCACATTAGGTAACATTGTAATCACTAACTTTCAAGTTTTTCAACACCAATCTAATGTCTAATGGATGGGAAGTGATGGTATTTAAGATTCCTTTAAACATCCGAAACAATCAATCCCAGCTACACACTCCTTCATGTTGGCCTATCACTACGGCTGGCCATTTTTTTAATTTAAATTATTTCAAATCATATTTTAATTCCTTGTTTTCATTCCACTTCCTATTGATTCTTGACTCTGATTCTGTTAAGAAACACGGTCATAGAAGTTTAAATGTTATAGATTAGCCAGCTAATCGAGTTTTGTCTGGATAAAATAGTCTGGACAGCTCCTTAAACATCTAACTTTGTGTAAACATTACTATAAGTAATCAGATAGTTATTTTCAACCAATATACATTTCAAACCTATGAACTTGAATCTAATTTTCTGTATGCAGAGCTAAACTTCAATGTAGGGCTTCATTGTTTAAAACCTCAGTAAAACACATTTACACATACCCAGTTTCTGATGCTTCAGGTACTTATGTCGCATAAGAGACTGTATTATTTTATTGAACTGATTCTGACTGTTTATTTGGTGCGAGGCTCAATGTCAGGAAAATCAGGAAGGCAGCATCGTTTACTGCACCTCAGCTCCACTCAACTAGATGTGGAAGTAGTGATGTTTTACTTTTGTGGACAGAGGAACGATCAGATTTCCTACTCTATCTCTCAGTTAGTGGCTTCTATCATATAAAACAGATTCCAAGTGAACTCAAATAAACAATGAATGAAGTTATGCTTCAAATTATTCACAAGTTAAAAAAAAAATGCTCTCGATCGGAATGACATTTTTTCTGATCAGGCCGCATCGGATTAGAATCTTCAGTCTAACAGCTTTACATGAAACATTTTTGATCTGATTGGGCCTCAAGACGATTATTTGTGTCATGTAAGCATAGTTACTGTGGATTCTTCGCTAATATTAGGCAGCTTCTCCTCTAGTCGGCAGCTTGAGCTAATCAATCGGAATAAATTCTAACCTTTCGAATCTCTCGGAATTCCTACAATGTTTTAGGGAATCCGGGAGATTCGAAAGGTTAGAATTTATTCCGATTGATTATCAACACCCAACCCTACCGATCACTCAGATTCGCACTAAAATAGATAATATATTCAAAGTCTGATGTCTGATGTTTTATGATGGTATATGATGTTAACCTTGTGCTGCAAGCTGGATTGTTGCGAGATCTGAGTTTTCAGTCTCACAACAAATCCATCTTGAAAGACTACCCCTAATACGTCCATCTCATAGCCAGGGACATGTAGGAATGATGAGTCAGAAGGGCCTTTCAGGGGCATTACAAACATGGCTACGCTGGAGGACTCACCTGTTGATACCACAATTGACTTGGTTTTAGCTAAAATAGCCACAATCTCTCGATTTAAAAAAGGAGCAAAGCACTTTGAAAGGATTTGGAAAAAGTTTGATTTAGCAGCTTACTCAGCTAGTTGTGAAAGCACTAAAGAAACTGCAGATGAATCATTGTGATCATCATTGGTGGCTCTCATGGATGACCAAGTTGGTTGGAAGCGTATTCTGGAAGGCGGGTACTAGCTGGCAGATCACCCAATCAGCTCGAAGTATTATACTAAACGTCCCTCCTTTTTACGGATATACTTAACGACTCCCATCCCAGATTGATAACATAGAACTCAACTCAGTTCTACACATATCAATCTCACTACTGCTGAGTTAACATGGGGCAGCTTAGGGGTGTAAATAATGGTTTTGTATCGATGCATCGATCCAACAGCCGACGATCCGATGCATCGATACGTCCGCAAGAGTATCAATTCATGTTTTTTTTTCTCCGGTCTATTTTTATCCCTTTGCTCCTGGGCGTAATTCTCCCTCCCGTGCTGCGGTGGCGCTAAACCTATTTTGCACCCCTACCTCGCTTCCTGGTTATACTCTTACAGCAGTGTGTTGCAGTAAGCTTGACACAGACATTTTTGATTTATGCTCAGTATTGAAACGTGGTCTGTGCTACACGCTGTGGGTCTAGATACGGCCGAGGCGGTGAGGAAGTGGGGCCGAGTTTAGTCCGACGACGGAGGGACATGAGGGCCAAAAAGAGCGGGGATCCAGGTGGAAAAAGGGTCCCAGCGTTCTCGCGCACCTCGCTCTTCTAGCTGGTCTAACTTCACGAGTTGTTTTCCGCAATTTCGGTCATAAAAAGAAAACAAGCTGGCCTCCTGTCTGCAGCACTGTTTGTGGTCAGCTACAATCTGGGAGAGGTGCAGCGGAGCGTCTGTAGAGGGGGCGGGGACGTCTGGAGCCGAGGTATTGCATTGCACTGATTGCACTGATTTTGTGCAGTATTTTTTGATGCAAGGCCTTTCAGAATCTATAACGCAGGGGTATTATTATTTTTCAGTGAATGAGGTTTCAATAGTAATAGGTGGAGTGCAACTTTTCTACTTCTGTTAATTGCTGTTGTTTCTCAAATAAAATGCATAAAGATATTACAGCTTTCATTGATTGATTTCAAATTTGAAACATTGTCTAGCCTGTAAGGTAAAAAACCCCAAAACAAAACAAAAAAACAATTAATCGAATCGTATCGTGGTTTATTCTTGAGTATCGAAAATAATCAAATCGCTGGGTCAGGAAATCAATACTGAATCGAATCGCCATGATGGATGTGATTTACACCCCTAGGGCAGTTGCAGTTTAAAATAATCAAAACATTTGTCTTCTGTTAGTTCAGTAATGAGTTACCATTCCATCTTGTTTTGTTTTTTCTTTAGGCCAGTCTCTGGGGACACACCTTGTCCTGACCTTGTGGATCAGCCTAGATTGACTGAAGGATCTAGAAGTCTCCACCCTCAGCTATATTCCTCTCTTCCTGACGTGTCATCCATCAGAGAGGTTGGATTGCACGAGGACGTCTCCTCGGAGTCCAATGTGTCACTCAATCTGCAGCTGTCTGGGAAACAAAGCAGCGGGCCTGACAACTTTGATGCAGATGATTATATTTACTCTGGTGAATTGGATTCTGAGCTGAACGTGCTGTTAGAGCAGAACACCCCTAAAGTGGATGGGAGAATCCCAGATTGTATTGTTGAATCTGTGATGAATGAGGACCACAGTGTGGATGATACTCCTGTGGCCTTCTGTGAATCTATTGCACAAAGAGTGAGAAGGGAAAGATCAAGCAGGAGGTCTGAGTTTGACCAGACAGCACCAGCAGACCTGGTTAAAGATGCTCACCCGTCAGACAATGAAACCATAAAGGATGAGCGACCAGATGAGAAATCAGAGAGGCATGTGGAAGACGGAGAAAACTCTAATATGCTTAACTTTATTGGCGACTGGCCCTCTGAAGGGTCTCTTCAGCAGCGGCCGGTGAGGAGAGGAGAAAGGCAAAGAGGGATGCAAGTAAAGGAAATTGAAGATGAAAAAACACTGACTGTATCGTCCAGTCCTGATCTAACAGAGTTTCAGAAGCTTCTTGATCTTATCCAGGCGGGTGCGGTCACTGATCAGATGAGGTCATCATCACCGCAGTCTATCTGGTCGGGGGAAGATTTTGAGAACAAGGGTGAAGCAGGTGTTGTGGTGAAAGAAGTTCACCAAAGCAGCAGCGGAGAGAGGCAGCAAAACGAGAGCAAGGCTGATTTACCTGACTGCATTCAGGACGGGAAGCTGAAGCAATCAACAGCCAGCCCGGATGAAGGAGTGGATAGTGAAAACAGAGCGAGTACTAACACTGAAAGGGACACTAGCGGCTCCAAAACGGCCAAAGAACAGACAACATTACCAGCTGAATGCAGCAATGAAGTTGGAAGCCGAGATCCAGATGTGAAGGAAAGTCTCAGAGCTGTAGCGCCAGAGTCTGATAAGACCCCTGATTGCTCAATGTCTGAGTTATTTGCAGAAGTGGAAAGTTGTGGGAGCAGTCAGGAAAAAAAGCAACAAGGTCGGAGATCGGGTAAGCTGTGTAAGCTGGCCCTCACCTTCTCTCACAATTCTTCCATGAACGATTCCGACAATCCAAAGGCAATAGAGGAAAATGCAGACAACAAAGACGGCCCGAAGTCTGATGTTGAAACCAAAAGTTCTGATATTCTCTCCCAGCCTCATCCTGAGCTGCCAGCCCCTCTCGCTTTAGCAGAAACAGGTCTCTCCACTCAGACAGAACCTCAAGACTTTGCACTTCTCTGGCGTCTCAACCGTCCCTGCAGCTCTGATGGTGCATCAGTCTCCACCAGCAGACCCTCCACCAATATCCGGGTCTTGGAAGGAAACTCTTCTCGTTTTGTGCCAAAGTCATCTTCTACGGCAGCTGATGTTCACTCATCCAGCCACATTGACATACCCTACCGGGTGGTTCATGAGAAGAGCACCGATATGGAGGGGGAAGAGCTCGGAGTTAGTCAGGACCGGCTGGAAAGCCTGCGCATCCTCAGCCGGCATTTTAAACTGGTTAGCTTTGATACATTAGAGGATCTGTATGACAAATGTGGTAAGGACCTGGAATGGACCACCAACCTATTGCTGGACTCTGGAGAGAGATTTTTCAGGGATGAAGATTATTTGGAGCTTATCCAATCATCCAATCCAAATGAAGCTTCGTGTGAGGCTTCTGATGCTGAACAAGTTAATGTGGAGGAGCAAAAAGGAGCTGAGCTTGAAGAAGAAACTCATGAGTCAACTGGTGTGGAAGTTAACGAGTCAAATGAATGCAAGGCCGTCCCATTTGGAGGGGAATCGACTCCAGTTACAGCCGAGGAGCCATCAGATCCAGCCTCAGACTTGGCGCAGTCTCCTCAGGCAGAACCATGCCTCCCTGAGGCTGCAGAGAGCTTAGAGCACAGCTCCAACAATGACCACTTGCTTGCAAAAGAAAGAGCTTTGGGCACAGATAAGGTGGAAGGTATTTTAGAAGTTGAGAATGAAACTATCGATGATATGGCAAGCATGGACGAGATCAATCGGCTTCTGCAGGCTGAGATGGAAGAGATGGAGAGAGAACAGAGTCAGAGGAAACCTGAGCGACGATGCAAACACCTGGACATTCAAACCGTGGAGCTAAAACTGACCACAGAACTGGCACTGCAGTTAACAGAACTGTTTGGTCCAGTTGGAGTAGACCCAGGTAATTCACATATAGTCTACTCACCCTGAATAGCTTTCTGTTGGTACATTTCAAACTCAAACTTCTAATGTTTACGATAAATGAAAGTAGCAGCCATATATGCAGTAGCTTGCAAAAACACTTGTCTCTCCATGTTTTTGCGAATTAAAAAAGAAACATGGATATGTGCTTTTGTATTCAGCCCCTGTGACTCTAATGACCCTAAATAAAATGACTGCAACTACTTTCCTTTAGAAGACACTACTTGATCTAACTACAGTACTAGTGCTTTAAAAGCTCCACTGTTTTCATGATGGGTCCTTGACTGCTTTTTGGCAGGTCCTTCGCTGGTAACAGAAAAATCTGTAGGGGTAACATAAATCCCACGGTTACATCGGTGGAGTGTAAACCAGCTGCAATCCCTATGGGTGGAGTTATGGAGAACATGGAGACTCCCAGCAGAAAGAGGGAGGTTGGCTGGAAACCGGAGGCCATTTGGCTGCCTTTCAGCCTGAATGGGAAATTTGAATCTGCTACTACTGTATAAATCTCTGATTTCTGTAGCAAGATATGAGGTTATTAATGGCATCTTGAAGAACAATGAAAGCGTCGGATAGTTTAGGAATAAAGTTCCCATGATGCGACTGCAAAGCTACTAAAATATGATCATTCACCCAAATCCATTGGCTTATATTTGAATGCATCATATTCCCAACTCTATATATTAACACTCTGCCTGCCGATGCTGAAGTTGATCGTTTGGACAGCTGCTTACCTTGGAAGTAAGCCAGTCCATTGCTGCAAAAACACTGAAGACCTAGCTGATGGTTAACCATCCAGCACAGAAGAAATAAGCCTAGATATAAAATCAGCCCTACAATTCATTGGTATTTATTGAACGAATGAAACCATATTTATGGCAGAAGTGTTCATTCTGATTCCAAACTTTCCATCTAATTATACTAAGCTTGCCCAGATGGAGCTGAAAATAAATGCACAAATCATTGGTCACATTTGTTAGACTAAATATTTGAAAACCATAAATACTTTTCCTTCTACTTCAAGGCTATGTGCTGCATTCTGTGTACGTGTAACATAAAGTCCTGTTAAGGGATAAAAGGTTGTGGCCAATAGGTTTAGGAGGAATACGTAATTTAGCAAGGGGCTGCTGTGTTGCTGAGTCTATGGATGGTTTGCTCCAGCCTTTGATTTTTTATTTTTTTTGGTTCCTTATAACCAGGCACCTGTTCAGCAGATGAGTTTGCTGTGGAGATGGATCTGAATCTGGCTAAACTCCTCCACCAAAAGTGGAAAGAAACAACCGAGGTGAGTTTAAAATCCACTTTTCTTCTTAGTTTTTGTCGACCGCCTTTTAAAGCATTTCGTTTTCCAGGAAAGGCAAAGACAAGCAGCTCTGTCTTTCCACATGCTCGATGAAAGTAAGTAGCAAAACGCAAATGCTTTGGTTGCTTTTACAGCAAAAACTGTAAAAACAGAGAAATTTACTGCTTTTTTAAGACTTAAATGCATATTTAAAAAAAAATGTTCAGGTTGGAGGGGGCTTTCCAAACATGGTCTACGAGAGCCAGGTGGAAAATATGGTGACGGCGCTCAGCTCCCCTTTATGGATCACTGGAATGTGTCCCGTCCCCCTGTCTCTCTTAGAGATATAATAAAAGAAGAACAAGCTCTGCAGCATAGCATGCAAAAGGTATCATAACATAGGTTATATATCATCAGATAACATGGTTCCTTCTTGTTTCAATTAAATCTGTCTACCTGCTTTTCTTTAAGACCAGACAGAGTCGCCTTGAGCTGCATCACCGGGATGGAGCTACGTTGTTAAAGGAGAAGCAGCTTTATGAACTTTTTCCCACCATTGACAAACATTTCCTGCAGGACATCTTCAGAGATCACAAGTATGGAAAGGCTGTAATCAATTACACTATCTTGTAATCATATATAACAGACTTGTTGGGCTTTTTTGCATCAATAACATCATGTAAGCGGTTAGGTTTTTGTTTTAGCTCCTTGTTTTCCTAAAATGAAAGCTATAACTCCTGAACCTTATTTCTCTTATTGTTATATTGAGGAAATACTTGATTTTCGGTGTTCTACCAGACCTTTTGTTGTGTGTGTGTATGTATGTATATATATATATATATATATATATATATATATATATATATATATATATATATATATACTCACCGGCCACTTTATTAGGTACCCCATGCTAGTAACAAGTTGGACCCCCTTTTGCCTTCAGAACCGCCTCAATTCTTCGTGGCATAGATTCAACAAGGTGCTGGAAGCATTCCTCAGGGAGTTTGGACCATATTGACATGATGGCATCACACAGTTGCCGCGATTTGTCGGCTGCACATCCATGATGCGAATCTCCCGTTCCACCACATCCCAAAGATGCTCTATTGGATTGAGATCTGGTGACTGTGGAGGCCATTTGAGTACAGTGAACTCATTGTCATGTTCAAGAAACCAGTCTGAGATGATTCCAGCTTTATGACATGGCGCATTATCCTGCTGAAAGTAGCCATCAGAAGTTGGGTACATTGAGGTCATAAAGGGATGGACATGGTCAGCAACAATACTCAGGTAGGCTGTGGCGTTGCAACGATGCTCAATTGGTACCAAGGGGCCCAAAGAGTGCCAAGAAAATATTCCCCACACCATGACACCACCACCACCAGCCTGAACCGTTGATACAAGGCAGGATGGATCCATGCTTTCATGTTGTAGACGCCAAATTCTGACCCTACCATCCGAATGTCGCAGCAGAAATCGAGACTCATCAGACCAGGCAACGTTTTTCCAATCTTCTATTGTCCAATTTCGATGAGCTTGTGCGAATTGTAGCCTCAGTTTCCTGTTCGTAGCTGAAAGGAGTGGCACCCGGTGTGGTCTTCTGCTGCTGTAGCCCATCTGCCTCAAAGTTCGACGTACTGTGCGTTCAGAGATGCTCTTCTGCCCACCTTGGTTGTAACGGGTGGTTATTTGAGTCACTGTTGCCCTTCTATCAGCTCGAACCAGTCTGGCCATTCTCCTCTGACCTCTGGCATCAACAAGGTATTTCCGCCCACAGAACTGCTCACTGGATGTTTTTTCTTTTTCAGACCATTCTCTGTAAACCCTAGAGATGGTTGTGCGTGAAAATCCCAGTAGATCAGCAGTTTCTGAAATACTCAGACCAGCCCTTCTGGCACCAACAATCATGCCACGTTCAAAGTCACTCAAATCACCTTTCTTCCCCATACTGATGCTCGGTTTGAACTGCAGGAGATTGTCTTGACCATGTCTACATGCCTAAATGCAATGAGTTGCCGCCATGTGATTGGCTGCTTAGAAATTAAGTGTTAACGAGCAGTTGGACAGGTGTACCTAATAAAGTGGCCGGTGAGTGTATATATATTTTTTTTAGTTTTTTTTGTTTTCTGCATAGGTACAACCTGACTCAGACAGAGTTGTTTCTACGCTCCCTTCTCAACGAGGAGGAACCTGTGAAGATGGTTGTTGCATCAGGAGCTCCTCGGTCGGACCAGCACAGAGCTGCTAGCAAGGAAAGGGAAAAGGTGTGACCTCATCCTCTCCGAACACATGTGCATCTCTTTATTTTTTCTTCTAATTTTAACTTTTGCATGCTGAACTGGTTCATTATAAACAAGTTTAACAATTTGTTTCAACACATTCTTTAGATTTTAGGAGCAGCTACCTGCATTATGCTCTTTTTATTTAATCCATGCAGAAACAGAAGCCACTGGAGTCTGCTGCACCTACCTATCAGGATACAGAGGACCCCGAGTATGAAGACTTCCGGGCTGAGGCTAATCTCCAGAGAAGACGACAGATTGAGAGCTTTGCCAAGGCTGCAGAAGCTTATAAGCAGGGTCGCAGAGAAGTGGCCTCGTTTTATGCACAGCAGGTAACAGTTTATTAACTCTTGGGTTAAGAATTAATATACGTAATCATGTTTAGATTAAGAATGAATACACAAACAGTCAATTGCTGCAATAGTTTTGATGATATTTAAAACTTTCCCACAAGTTGCACTGCAACAACCTATTTTCTGGGCCAACAGAGTGGGACAAGAACGTGAAGTGGAAACAAAATAATGGTTTAAAAAACGTATTACCTATGAATATCTAAAGGGTTTGTATATCACTTTTATTCAGCTGCCGGTATCTAGGATATGTTTCAATCAGCTTTACACATAATATTTTTTCACCCTTAGTAAACTTAGTCAAACAGGTCAGTTTCTATAATGAAAGTTGTTCTTTCAGTTCCAGGTTTATGACTTCTTAACATGTTGCATTTCAAAAAAAAAGTTTCTCTTATTAGTTTTTATTTTGAGGAAATCATTAAAACATTTCCTTGTTTCCGAAATATTCAGTATGTTTTGTTGGATCACCATACAATATAAAATGAATTGTGGGAAGTCCAAATGATGTTAGAACCAAAGTTACTGGTTAATTCCTTTTCCGTAGGAATTAAAGGTACATTTTTTAACAGCTTGCTATGATCCTGGGCAATAATGTTTTCTCTATATTTAGAATATATCAAATATCAACCTATAGGATATTTCGTATAAGACAACTTTAGTATTTTATTGACCTGATTGTGTTTGTTTTTGCTGTGTGAGGCTAAAAGTCTGAGTCAACAACAAGTTAACAAACTTATTCAGAAGATAATAAAAATAAACAGAAAAGGTTTCAGAACATCCTTATCTTTATTATATACACTCACCGGCCACTTTATTAGGTACACCTGTCCAACTGCTCGTTAACACTTAATTTCTAAGCAGCCAATCACATGGCGGCAACTCAGTGCATTTAGGCATGTAGACATGGTCAAGACAATCTCCTGCAGTTCAAACCGAGCATCAGTATGGGGAAGAAAGGTGATTTGAGTGACTTAGAACGTGGCATGATTGTTGGAGGCAGAAGGGCTGGTCTGAGTATTTCAGAAAGTGCTGATCTACTGGGATTTTCACGCACAACCATCTCTAGGGTTTACAGAGAACGGTCCGAAAAAGAAAAAACATCCAGTGAGCGGCAGTTCTGTGGGCGGAAATGCCTTGTTGATGCCAGAGGTCAGAGGAGAATGGCCAGACTGGTTCGAGCTGATAGAAGGGCAACAGTGACTCAAATAACCACCCGTTACAACCAAGGTGGGCAGAAGAGCATCTCTGAACGCACAGTACGTCGAACTTTGAGGCAGATGGGCTACAGCAGCAGAAGACCACACCGAGTGCCACTCCTTTCAGCTAAGAACAGGAAACTGAGGCTACAATTTGCACAAGCTCATCGAAATTGGACAATAGAAGATTGGAAAAACATTGCCTGGTCTGATGAGTCTCGATTTCTGCTGCGACATTCGGATGGTAGGGTCTGAATTTGGCGTCTACAACATGAAAGCATGGATCCATCCTGCCTTGTATCAACGGTTCAGGCTGGTGGTGGTGGTGTCATCGTGTGGGGAATATTTTCTTGGCACTCTTTGGGCCCCTTGGTACCAATTGAGCATCGTTGCAACGCCACAGCCTACCTGAGTATTGTTGCTGACCATGTCCATCCCTTTATGACCACAATGTACCCAACTTCTGATGGCTACTTTCAGCAGGATAATGCGCCATGTCATAAAGCTGGAATCATCTCAGACTGGTTTCTTGAACATGACAATGAGTTCACTGTACTCAAATGGCCTCCACAGTCACCAGATCTCAATCCAATAGAGCATCTTTGGGATGTGGTGGAATGGGAGATTCGCATCATGGATGTGCAGCCGACAAATCTGCGGCAACTGTGTGATGCCATCACGTCAATATGGACCAAACTCCCTGAGGAATGCTTCCAGCACCTTGTTGAATCTATGCCACAAAGAATTGAGGCAGTTCTGAAGGCAAAAGGGGGTCCAACCCGTTACTAGCATGGGGTACCTAATAAAGTGGCCGGTGAGTGTAGATCTGCATAAATCTTAGTTTAAGTTTTTTCTTTTCTTTGGTTTTGTAAAGAGTGTAAAGTATCGGCCTTAGAAATAGAACGCCTCTTAAACTCTGTTTTGTATGTACATTTTCAGTTTATAATCCAGCTTAAAGTATTAATTGCGTTTTTCTCTACTCTTGTTTTAGGGACACTTGCATGGCCAACGGATGCGTGAAGCCAACCACAGAGCAGCTGTGCATATATTTGAAAGAGTTAACCAATCGCTGCTGCCCAGAAACATCATGGACCTCCACGGGCTGCATGTGAATGAGGCGTTAGAGCATCTGGCTCAGGTCCTGGAGGAAAAAACTGCAGGTGAAGCAAATATTCTGCACAGCCTTCCTTCTAACATGAACTCTGATCAGTCTCATGCAAGTAGCAGGTAGATTTCTACCATCTGGAGCCAGAAAGTAACCTGTAAAAATACTATACAAATGCATAAAGCTAAATGAAGAAGCTGAATTAGCTAAAAAAAAAAAGCTAAAGGGTTGCAGAAATCGTCAGAGTTTAACAATCTAAATGCCAAAATCATTTAAAGGTATGGTAGAGGATGTACTTTTTCCAGGTGGATCATCAAAATAAGATTTCATCCTAATTGTCAATCATTCTGGTGATTAGGTTGGCTAGGTAAGGCTGTCGTACCATTCCTATCCATTCCTCTTGAAAGCTCTAAATGTAAGGCAAAAAAAAAAAATCTTGCTAGACGATAGCTTGTTTAATGGTCTTTAGCATGCTAAAGTTAGCTATAAAGATGCTTGCAGAGCTTTAAAGATGCAGAGAAATACACCTATTTGTATTACAATTGGCTTTACACGTTATTTTTATTTTGTTAACATGTTTGCTTGTCGTGAATACATTTTCACTTACCGATGGTGATTCTGACATAAAAAAAATGCAAATCTTCGTTTATAAAGTAAGCTTGTATGAGCGATACAAACAGAAACTTTTAAACAGAGCGTGCATGAGGAGAAATGGGCGTGTGCAATGCTCTCGCATGTGTTAAATAGGCGTTCCCTCTCGGAAGAGGGACGTTTTTTTCAGTGATTTGAAAAAATTTCTCCCCTTTACCTTTCAATATTTGAAACTTTAGTAAAAAATGACCAAGTTAAACTGTTATCTGAAGCAAAGTGCTGTTTCTAGGTGTTTAAAAGGCATAAAGTGAGTAGGTGAAGTCACTATTAAACCATTGCAAACTGGATGTTAGCTGAAAATATTGGAAAGCAAAATAACCTGCAGAACTTATTTAATTAAGTATAAATCACAGAGCATAAGAATGAAGCTAATATATATATACAGGTGCTGGTCATAAAATTAGAATATCATGAAAAAGTAGATTGATTTCAGTAATTCCATTTAAAAAGTGAAACTTGTATATTATATTCATACATTACATACAAACTCATATATTTCAGATGTTTATTTTGTTTAATTTTGATGATTACAAATGACAACAAATGAAAATCTCAAATTCATCATATCAGAAAATTAGAATATTACTGAAGACCAATAAAAACAAAGGATTTATAGAAATGTTGGCCAACTGAAAAGTATGAACATGAAAAGTATGAGCATGTACAGCACTCAGTATTTAGTTGGGCCTCCTTTGGCCTGTATTACTGCAGCAATGCGGCGTGGCATGGAGTCGATCAGTCTGTGGCACTGCTCAGGTGTTATGATAGCCCCGGTTGCTCTAATAGTGGCTTTTAGCTCTTCTGAATTGTTGGGTCTGGTGTATTGCATCTTCTTCTTCACAATACCCCATAGATTTTCTATGGGGTTAAGGTCAGGAGAGTTTGCTGGCCAATTAAGAACAGGGATACCATGGTCCTTCAACCAGGTACTGGTAGCTTTGGCACTGTGTGCAGGTGCCAAGTCCTGTTGGAAAATGAAATCTGCATCTCCAAAAAGTTGGTCAGCTGCAGGAAGCATGAAGTGCTCTAAAACTTCCTGGTATGTGGCTGCGTTGACCCTGGACCTCAGAAAACACAATGGACCAACACCAGCAGATGACATGGCACCCCAAACCATCACTGACTGTGGAAACTTTACACTGGACTTCAAGCAACGTGGATGAAGTGCCTCTCTTCTTTTCCTCCAGACTCTGGGACCTTGATTTCCAAAGGAAATGCAAAATTTACTTTCATCAGAGAACATGACTTTGGACCACTCACCAGCAGTCCAGTCCTGTTTCTCTTTAGCCCAGGCAAGACGCTTCTGACGCTGTCTGTGGTTCAAGAGTGGCTTGACACAAGGAATGCGACAGCAGAAACCCATGTCTTTCATACGTCTGTGTGTGGTGGTTCTTGAAGCACTCACTCCAGCTGCAGTCCACTCTTTGTGAATCTCCCCCACATTTTTGAATGGGTTTTGTTTCACAATCCTCTCCAGGGTGCGGTTATCTCTCTTGCTTGTACACTTTTTTCGACCACATCTTTTCCTTCCCTTCGCCTCTCTATTAATGTGCTTGGACACTGAGCTCTGTGAACAGCCAGCCTCTTTAGCGATGACCTTTTGTGTCTTGCCCTCCTTGTGCAAGGTGTCGATGGTCGTCTTTTGGACAACTGTCAAGTCAGCAGTCTTCCCCATGATTGTGTAGCCTATAGAACTAGACTGAAAGACCATTTAAAGGCTTTTGCAGGTGGTTTGAGTTAATTAGCTGATTAGAGTGTGGCACCAGGGGCCATCAATTTTGAACCTTTTCACAATATTCTAATTTTCTGATATGATGAATTTGAGATTTTCATTTGTTGTCATTTGTAATCATCAAAATTAAACAAAATAAACATCTGAAATATATGAGTTTGTATGTAATGTATGAATATAATATACAAGTTTCACTTTTTAAATGGAATTACTGAAATCAATCTACTTTTTCATGATATTCTAATTTTATGACCAGCACCTGTATATATATATATATATATATATATATATATATATATATATATATATATATATATATATATTCTGCAAACAAATCTCAGTAGCAGAAACAAGCTTTTTTTCAAGATGGGACAGAGTGCCCAAATCAAGAATGTTTTGTACAGACAGGATTTAGAACAGAGTATTTTCAACTTTATGACCTCAGGTTTTAATTATTATAACATGCTGTATGTAGGTGCAGATCGGCTTCCCTTCATTGCCTTCTGCTTGTCCAAAATCCAGCTGCTTGTCTTCTAAAAATAAAAGAAAAAAGGCAAGAACATATTATGTTTGCTGCTCTCCACCAGCTCCCTGTTGTCTTTTAGTTATTCTATGCTGGTTCAGATCCCAAGAACTTTTTACCTTCAATTATTATTAGACATACAGCACTTTGTTTTTTTAATGAACTTTATAAATATAGGTGACTAGATTAAGTTGGATAATTGCCTCACATAAAGTTATATTTATTTTTAAAAATCCATTGAATCATTAAATCTAAAAGCATCAACTGGTGTCATGATGCTGCTTCACCTTTACCACTATACTGTGGTGCCAACCTGCTCCTGTTAACTGAATTTTGTGTGTTTTGTTTCTCTCCGGCCTCTTTGTGAACAGACTGCGAGCGGGGTCTGTGTCGACCTCAGCTCTCTGTCATCACAGGAAGAGGAAACCACAGCCAGGGGGGAGTGGCCCGCATCCGCCCCGCCGTCATAGACTACCTCACCAACAAGCACTACAGGTACACATGCACTCACACGAGACAAGTCACACGAAAGCATGAGACAAATTCACCTTCACCCATAGCTTCTGCTTGTGTGTTCCTCTCAGGTTCAGTGAGCCGAAGCCGGGCCTCGTGTTGGTCTCTTTGAAGCGATGAGACCCCGTCTCTGCTGCCGTGAACTTTCTTCATCTCTCACACTCGTTTTTAAGAACAATCTGTACGGTGCCAAAAAAAACCCCAACTGTCAGTATTGGTATTTTTCCCCCAACAATTAACCCTCTCCATCAGTCCTTGAGCTGCTCATTTTAAAGGTCGTGTAACCTGAAAACTTTTTTATCTTTCACCCATTATGGAATGGGACTGCGTTACTGGTATTAAACACAAATATTTCTTTTTTTTGCCTGTAAGGTGTTGTAAGCGTATACATTTTATAGTTGAAATTCTTTAAAGGTTTGGTTTTACCTCATATCTGTTTTAAATGATTAGATTATGAAGTTGGCAGACTTGAGCCTTACTATTACCGGTTTCTACCTTCATCTTAATAAATTCTGATAGTTTGCGCAGAAAGGAGACTTCCTCTGCAGGATGTAGACAGGTTCTCTTAAAAATAAGTTAATACCTTAAACCTAATGTTCTTTTACACAAAGATATATATTTTTAACACAGTCAATGACTTTAAGAAAAGATATAGCTTTTCTCTTTATTTTAGATTTACACTCACCTCAGCCTGTGTGTTAAAACTTCACATATGATCAAAGGGCAGAAAAAGGTGAGCCGCTATCGTTGAGCAGATGGAGCAATCTCTGCTGTGGCTTCTGAGGCAGCTGCCCCGCTTTAGGCTCAGCACCTGGCCGCAGTAACACAACGTTTTCTAACACGTATGTATGTGAAAAAGGTTAGCTGCTAATCCTCTGATCCTCAAACTCAGGTGTCTCTGTGTGAAGTTGCCTTCAATCTCATTCCTTATAGCTTTTAAAACACTCTATTTTAGCAGCCGACCTCTAAAGTATGCTGCACCAGTTTTATAGTTAAATTGTTGCTTTATTTTTCTAAAAAGAGTGAGTTTTGATGTATTACTGTGTGCACACTTATTCTAAAGAATGTATTTTTAGTAATTTTGTCTACAGTTTTACAGAGTATGTTATTTGTGAAATAAATCTATTTCTTTACATTTTTTTGTACCTGTCTTCATTTTTGAACCTGTTTGCTGGCAGGTTTGTTTCAGCTCTTCAGCTTGAGGCTTTTTTGAAACCTTTTGTTGCCATTTCTTCAATAGAACTTTTAAGAAATGTATTGTTTTAAGCTAAATAACCAGTTCCATAGTTGTTTAAACCAAATGTAATAAAATGACTTCCTGTTTGTTGGGACACATACATATTTACACTAGCCTCTCTTCAACATAAGAAATGGAAGGTAATATGCGCTGGAAAAAATTACAACTTGATAACATGAAATAAACATTTTACTTTTTGTCAGATCTTTATTCATTGGGGAAAGAAAATCCTAAGCCAGATTCACCAGGGCAGTGCTTTTTGGGAACCCTAGCAATGACAAGGAAATGACAATAACTTAAAATGTGTTTTCTATTACAGTGTCCTGGAAAATTTTATTAATTATATAAAAATACCACTTCCCTTGGGTATAAGTTTGACGGTGAGACAATTTGCCTACTTTTATAGTAGAAAAGAGGACATGCAGTGGAAAAAAAGTTTTTTTTTTGTTTTGTTTTTAAAGATTTTTTCAGATCAAAAACTATCTGCATCAAGGGGTCAATTCAATATAACAACGTATATTTTAACGTATTTTTATAATTTCTAGCAGCTCATATTTAAGTTAACAGCAACACGAGAATTAAACATTTAGATTTGTAATAAGATTATTTTCATATCGAAGCTACATTAAGAATTTTAAATATTAGCATTTTTCCTTCAGCAGGGTGTGGTAGTAAAAAAATAAGTTTCCCCTAATTATGTATTAAAAAAAACTAAGTTAACTAATAGAAAAGCACTCGGAGAGGGTAGACCTTTTGCACCATCTTGTGACTTAGACCTATAGCTAAAACTCGCACATCATCTGGATCGTTATCTAATGGATTTTTCCTTGGCATAAAGCACGCCCAATTTAAAAAAACAAATAAATAATAAATAATCCGTTCAAAAGTTTTCAGTTGATCTAACCAACAACATTCCCTTTTCTTGTGTTTTTTTTTTTGTCTTCAGTGAAATACCTCCTGATTTTTTGAGTCCGATATTGAGGCTGTCAATAGTCACTGCTGCCATCCTCTGATTTAACGGGTTACTGCATGTTCCGCCAAATATCCCTATCTCACAATGTTAGAGAATCTTATAAAAAACAAAATCCTGTATCCAGATTATGAACTGGATCATCACCAACATTTTATAGATTCTTCTTTGGCATTAGGGACACCTCTGAAAAATCCTAACAATAACTTTTGTAGTTACCCTGTACACAGATAACCAAACACACACACACAAACTCTACTAAAGACATAAAATATAAGAGCTAAGATGAAAACAGTATTTAAGTCTGTGTTCAATTCTGCCTTTAACACAATTTTATTTATATCATATCTAATATAGAATGAAATGTAGCTTATTTTTTTAATATTGTTACATTGATATCTTTTGTTTTATTCTTTAAATACTTTTTAATGATTGAAATACAGCAAATATGGCATTCCAGCCTTTAGATGTATTTTATTGAATTATAGTTTTTTTTGGACACAGTCACCAAAGATAATTGTTAAAGCGTTTTAAAACAAAGGAGAAAAAAGAACCTGAGTTTATTGATAAACCACAATCTAGTGGCCTGACAGCAGCAGCAGACAAGACTGCAGAATTCAAAACTCTAAAAAGAACACAAGTGGAAATTGAAGGGCTTGTTTCTTTTTCTTTGGACTGTGAGAAAAAGACGTCTCCATAGCTGAGGACGGAGCTGACGCCTGATCTAATTTAGAAATTCAAAACTATATTTATTTTTAAGCACATCAGTTTAATAGAAACATCAGTGAAACTACAGTTTTCAGAGAAATGTTTGCAAGGGGGATATGTGAAGCAAACAAGAAGCTTGTGAAGCATTTTTAGCCAGTAGGCTACTGCTGCATATAGAGTAAAATCAGATGTTTTCCTACATTTATTCATAGAAAAATTTTGTTTTCCTCCGAAAAGCATTTTCTTCTTAACTTGACACTTGTTCTTTTCAACTATTCTTACGCACTTTAAAAGTATTCACATTACCCCAAAGATATGACCTTTATCATTAATTTAAACCCTGCAGGGCTGCTTAAGATGAAATACCTCAGCAATCCAGTAGATGGCGGTAATTCTCCTCTTTACGCTAAACGGTATAATATAAAAAATCTCTTACAAGAAAGACATCTTAATAACTTAATATTAAAGATATATTATTTTGTGTATATTTTGACTAAGAAGTTATCTTTTTTTCTACTCTTTGGGTATTCTTGTGTTGTCAAAATTCACTGCTAGCATAAACAGACACTGTTTAGCCACTGTCACTAAGATAAAAAATCAAATGTGGCTTGAAGTCAGTAACTTTTGTCATTTTTCTCCTCTCACATTTTCCCCTGTAAATCAGTAATTTTCTCTTAAAAGTGGGCTCTTAACACCTGAAAAAGAGTGACTCAGTGAAGATCCCCATCTATGCTGGAAAATACAATGGTTTCATTGTAGATACAAAAAAAAAAAAAGCCTCAACTTTTGTCTTTTCTTAGATGTTTTTTTTTTTTCCCTTTGTTTCCACTCCAGAGTCTTGTTGTCTTTATTGTATTTTAATTTATTCCAGAGTGTTGCCCTAACAGAGATTAAGTCCTGGAGAAATGGAAGACAAGACAAAAGACTTAAACTTACCTGAGTTTATTCTTAAACAATTAGGTGATTCAGAGCCAGAGCCAGCCCAAGCATTTATAACCAGAGGCAAATTAAACGGTTATATATACAGCCTACTAGGCAGAACCATCATTTTTAGCTTATTTAAAAAGTCACTATTAATTCCTAGTTGAAATAGTTTCTGGTTTTAAATGAATCAAATGTTATTAGCCTTTAAAAAAAAGTACCAGCAACTTATTGCTTGATTTGAACTTGGAGGTAGCTTTTCAAATGTTGTAGCTTTTATACTTTCTCTTATGTTGATTATAAAAAAAACTTATATTAAACTGTCCACAGCTAAAAAATATCTTTCCAAGCTCCGCTATGCTTCTGAGTTTAGCCTTACACTCTATGATATATGTTGATTAAATTCTGAAAATAGCATGAGTACTTTATCTAAACAGCAGACGTTTAACATACAGTTAAACAGTGTTTTACAAAGACAACAGGACATTTGAGGGTAAGGGTCACATTTTTTTCTGCTTAGGCCCCCCATCAGTGTCAAAGCAACACCCTCAAAATCCAATATCTTTACCTTTTATATAAGACTTGGAGATAACTGGAGTAAATGAAAAAAAATGTTTACTATGTACTATATTCAGTGTTTTGGCACTCAGTAATGTGTTATCTTTATGGAACGGGTTGCTGTGATGTTTGAAACTAGATCGATTAGGGAATATATTGTTTTCCTTAAATTGCTAACAGTACTTAGACAGATAGACTGACACCATCGATTCAATTCAATTCAGTTTATTTATATAGCGCCAATTCACAACACATGTCATCTCAAGGCACTTTACAGTTTAACCAGATCATACAGTCAAATTGATTCAAAGTTTTCTATCTAAGGAAAACCAGTTGATTGCATTGACTCAAATGCAATCTCTCATACTAAGCATGCTTGTGGTGACAGTGGAGAGGAAAAACTCCCTTTTAACAGGAAGAAACCTCCAGCAGAACCAGGCTCAGTGTGAGCGGCCATCTGCCAAGTCCGACTGGGGTTCAAGGACACAGAAGCAGAGATACAAAAAGTAGCTGTAAAAGGCGGCCCCATCCAGGAAACACACAGCCAGGCAGATTAGCAAATGTTTCTTATGATTTTCATTTTCAGGCTGCAATCTTGAAGCTAAATGGAAAGCATGTTTTGCTACGCTGTTGTCTGCATCAGTTCATACTGGGAATTCTCTATATTTTGATAAAACACTTCATTTTTGATCATTGTACAAGGGCAGCTGAGAATACCTGGTAACTGTACAGTAAATCTGTTCTTATTTATCTTTCAATCCATACCAAGCTGGTACTTGGCTATGATTTGAGAACCAAAGATATTGATGGCTGCATGAATAGAAGGCCTGTTTAAAGATTTCGTATGAAAATTCAGAAATTCCTTTTTTATAGAGATTTCACAAAAAAAAGAAAAAAATCAGTTCACCCTCAAATGACCCATACCTTTGTCTAATTTGTATTTAAAATGAAGCTCTCTGAACCAAAAATAGTAAAAGAGAAATCTGTGAGGGTATAATAAAACAATGCCACGTATGCTTTAAAAATTAAACATCCGAATACTCTTCTTACTGCAGGAATCAATTCCCTCCACAATTCTTTAAAAACAGCATTGTGTCCTCCCAAAGCCAGGTTTCAATGACGTCTATCCTACAAACTTCCTGGTTGGATAGAATTGGATAGATTGGAATTGGATTGATCCCGTTCACACAAAGCAGAGACATTTGAAACCTGTTCCCAGCGTGAAAATGACCTCTTTATATGAACAGCCAACACTGCTTGACCTGCTGGCGGGTTAGTGAATTCAAGTCAAAGTAGAACACCGCTCTACCTAAACATCAATGCACTCACACAAACAACACAGAGTTGAGTTTTTTTTTTTTTTAGTAGCTGTTCAATTTAATGTAGATTTTACATCTATGTCAAGTTTCTCACTCCTGGGTTGGTTGTTTTCGCCTTACCTTTTTTGTTTTTCTATGTTCCTAAATGCCGTTGCAGTGCAACTGCATCACTTACAGCTAGGCCTATAAGCGTTTGAAGACCTATTGTGGCTCCTGACTTTGGAGCTATAACAGCTCTTTGTATTGATTACAATGTAAATAAAAGTCTATGTTTCTTTTTGGACTTTGCCTTTATAGAGAATTACACGCTGCTGATTGGAAAGCACTTTTAGATAGATAGATTCTTTATTAAACCCTGATTTTGAAATGAATGTGTCCCGTAGTACCTATGAAACGTGGTATTCTTAAAAAGACCATGGTCAGCAGGATGCATTGTGCCTCCTTATCATAGCAGGCCGGTCTCCTGCGCTCACACCTTGTTGGCCAATGACGTCCTGGGCAGAATGCCTTTTCAGCCATATTTGTTGAATTTCTGACAGCTTGTAAAAACAGCATAACTTCATATCAGTGATTTATGTTTTTTGACAATCGGCGTTGCAATCTTTGTTCCAGTTGAGCTGCTATTTGTTGTGTCTAAGTTCCAAGTTGAGCACCAGCTGTAAGAAAACCAGTTTAAGTGCTCCAAACTGTAAAAAGAGATTAAAAAAGCAGCCTTATTGTATGAAGCACAGCTGCTGTGGGGGAGGTGAGCTGTAGATCTGTCACACCTCCACACTCCAACAAGCGGATGTGTTTTACTTTGCCTTTTCTCGCACTTTCTGACTTCCCTCCCCTACCTATTACCGACCAAGTCTTTCACAGGCTGCTTCAGCATTTCATCTCAGTGATGGCCTCATTTTCTGCCACCTTCCTTCCCTCTGTTGCCATGAGGCCGAACAGGTCGTAGATCTGCATTAACAGATAGATTCGTTTAAGTTTGGATGTTGTCTTTTCGAGAGGGTGACATCTGACAGGCGGCAGCCGACATCCGCCCGTTAAAGATTGGGCTGACTGACAAGGTAGGCCCGAACATCTGCTTTAGTTTGGTTGCTTCTTTTGAGGGTTAGTCTTTCTTTCTTTCTTTGGTTTTAACACAACCTATTTTTGATGCCTTCATGGCAACAGAGTCGCTTTGTTTTTCTTTTAAAATCAGCCAATTTTCATGTTAATTTTGTTTGTTTAATCAATAAACAAAAGTGAAAAAGGTTCCATAGAATGTAAATGTTTGCTTTTGTTGTTGTTTTATCAAAATCAGTTTCTTTTTTTACATGTGAGATCACTGAGCTGAAATGTGGAAAACCCACTGATTAATGTGTCCCATCTGCGCGATGGCAGGTCTTTCCATCTAGATGACATGGAAGGTGGTTTTGAGGTTACTTCTTCCTCTGCTTCGCGAAATGCAGGATCAGTTAGAAGCAGCTCATAATTCTTAAGCAATTAAAATAAACATTGATCTCCATAATTGCATAGAAAATAAACATCTACGCCAGTTTTTATTTTTATTTTGGTCAACCTGTAGAAACATTAAATGTGATGTAAACAGCAGAACTAACACCAGGAGATGATGTTAAAAACACAACGTAAAATTAGTGCAAAAGAGTGAAACACATGTAAGCTAAGATAGCACCTGTGTGTGTTTTCAGGATCAAACAGTGGATTCTGGGTCACACCCAAGCATACATTTCTTTACTTCCGTATTAAAATCTCTTATATAGTCAAAGATAATCTGACGTTAAAGCAGGGGAGCGCACACATTCATGGTAGGTTGGGTGTTTAATCATTTTTGTTAATCCTTCGAGAGAAACTTAAAAAAAGGTTAAATGATGACTGAATCATTCAACTTGTGATTCTCGATATTACTAACATGTCTGATCCCCTGTTCCCAGGAGAACATCCATATCCAGCGACGAACATCGAGATCTGAGCTGGACGCTAGGTAAACCAGGACAGGACGGCAGAGAGATCCCCAGAGCGGACCGTTTTGCAGCTGAGGCCGAGCGGAAGCGAGACAAGTCAAGATGGCCTGAAGAACCGAGCGGTTGCGTAAAGCTTCTGTTGAAGAGGTGTCTATGCACCAGATGTCTAAGCAACCTTTGAGGCCATATAGTTCAGTTCACTCAACTGCCACTGCAAGAGAACAACTCTAGTAATGGAGTTTCATTGATATGGCTGAGCATTGGCTTTGTTGAAAATTGCCTTCAGGTACGAAAGTACAACCCCCAATCGAGGACCTTGTATCCTTCAGTCAGAACAACCTTGACTTTTCTTAGAAGAACCCAATAGAACCTGAGAGTTTTGTTAATCAACAGCAGCCATGAATGGCATGACTGAACTGTCCGTGAAGTGTGTTCTGGTTGGGGACTGCGCGGTCGGCAAGACGGCCCTGTTGGTCCGCTTCACCTCAGAGACATTTCCAGACATGTACAGGCCGACTGTGTTCGAAAACACGGGCGTGGAGGTATATATGGATGGGGTCCAAATCAGCCTCGGCCTGTGGGACACGGCAGGCAATGACAACTTCAAGCAGATCCGCCCGAGATCGTACCATCAGGCTGACGTCGTCCTTATGTGCTACTCGGTGGCCAACCCAAACTCCCTGGCCAGCATCCAGCACAAGTGGATCGCCGAGGTCCGAGAGAACCTGCCCAGGGTCCCGGTGCTGGTCGTGGCCACCCAGACGGACCTGAGGGAGATGGGGGTTCATCGGGGCAGCTGCATCTCACCGGCGGAGGGGAAACGAGTGGCTCATGAGGTTCACGCTAAGGGCTACCTGGAGTGCTCCTCCTTGAGTAACCGTGGCGTGCAGCAGGTGTTTGAGTACGCCGTCAGGACAGTTTTCAACAAGCACAAGAAACGGGAAAGGAGGCGGTTGTTCAGCTTGAACCAGTGCAAAATGTTTTGATATCTGACTTTAAACTTTCTGTCATTTAAGGGTTTTTTAGATGTGCTGTTCAAACTCCGTCGCCCATGAAGAGATGAGAGGACCCAAAGTGGGTTTCCTGTCATACTGCAGGGTCGTTCATCACTAGTACCCACCCCAAACCCAAATGTATTTAAACTAAGAACACTGAGAAAAAAGACAAACCCTCACTGTCTGAGATAACAGCATATGTTAGCGGACGCTTTTCTAAAAAAAAAGGGTTTAAGTTATGAATGAGACTTTGTTCTCATATTGTGTCAAAAATGACATTTTATTCTTATTTAAAACCTGAAGAGAAAGGTTGAATAAAGTCACAGACTATGGATTAGCGGAACAAAAAGAACTTTATGTGAAATATAATGTTGTACTACAGAAAATATAATGATGCAAAAAGATATTGTGGGTATGGTTTCACAAAGCCTGATCATGATTGGTTGCTGATGTTTAAAATACGTGTTTAATGAAATTTAGGGTAATTTTGTTTTTTGTTTTTTTTATAAATGTTATTTGATGTAAAAAAGTTTTTTTCTGAATTCACGGCTACTCCCCAAGATCTTTATATCCCTGGCAGATTATAACATATCTTCATCTATAAATGTTTCTTCTGACTTGAAGTAAAGCTAGTTTTTTATTGTGTCCCTAATGGATTCTGACCTGGTAAAATTAAGGGAAAAAAAGGTGATGGTAAGGAGGTCTTCTAATCTAAAGACTTGGTGCTCACCATCAAAAATTAATCTCCAATCCCAGTGGGATCATAAAAGTCATAAAAGATCATAAAACTAGTCAGAAAATTGAAAATAGTTATTGCTGTAATACCAATAAATAATTATATATATTTATTTTATTTATTAGTGGGTACATAATTTTCAAGACAAACACTTTTCAACATTTTTAAATAAAAAGTGATAGTTAAGTGATAAAGTTAGGTAATACATTTTTTTTGTATTGATATAGCTTTTACATTGTTGTTTCTTTTCAGATTAGAAACCAATGTCTTGGTAAAGGGATATTTCTAAATTTAAATCTGCCAGGAGGGTGAAATATCTAAGGGTTAACTATCACTGATATGTTTAAGAGTAAATAAAACAAATTACTTTTGACAGAATTTTATCTGTTTAGAATTTTCTTTTTAAGTAAAACAACTAAAAAGGGCTAAACACAAGAGTTGCAACATATTTTCTTTTTTACTATTTAAAATGATTTATTTGTATTACCATTATTCATAAAGCAAGAGCCACGGACAAAGCTCAAAACCACTGAATTAACTTTTACTTCTTATTCGTAGACTTTGTGTCTCTACAGTTTGCGCAAATGAACAAAAAGAAGCTGCTGGTGAGATATCAATGATTCAAATGTGCAAGAATTATTGGAAAAATACAATTAGTAGGTTTTTATGTGACATTTCTTGGTTCATTTTGTTATGTTGGATCTGCCTGGATTGAATTCGAACACGATTAAATGATCTCCACTCTGATTATCAGTTGCATCCTGATGATCCTGAACAAACTCCTGAGGAATCAAACACTGTATGAAGTGCATACATCAGTTATTGTGGGCTCTTATGCTATTTTATAAACTTTGAATAAAACCTGTAGTGTTCTGAGTGTGCGTGTAGAATTGGCCTTTTATGATGCTGTTGGATATTTGTAGGCCTTCAACCTTTGTTAGATAAAAAATCCTATTCAGCTTTTAATTTTCTTATTTAAAAGGTGAAATTTAATTTTGTTATACGTAATTCACAAACATTCATTACATCCATGCCATACTCTGATAATTCTAGATACTTTGCAATTTAATGGTAAAGCAATTAAACTATTAGGTTGTTACCTTTAATGTAATATTAATCCTGAATAATTTGCATCTTAACGTAAAGGTGTAAGAAATTTTGAGTTGCTAAAACACATTAATTCAGCATAAAAAAGAAATGTAAAGATGTAAGGTTTAGAATATAGATAAGACTTTAACCATTGTATTGTCAGGTTTAGTTAGTTTAAAGAAGCATAGAATAAAACAGAATTAGAGGTTTAACCAATACTATATATGCAAAGGATTTCAAATGTGTAGTGTGCAAAATATATTTAAGGTCAGAGAAATTTGTTAGAGTAAAACATATTTATGAAAACCACAGTCAACCGGGAAAGAGGCTCAGAGAAGCCATTCCTTCCCCCTCATGTTTTCTCCCGCTCTTTCTCTGCATGTCTCTCCGTCTTCATGTGGTGTTCAGAGCCGCTGAGGATGAGAGGCACCATCTTTACTTTTAAAGGATATACTTTAAAACACCTAACCACATCCAAGTCCACACGTGCAAACTCACTAACATTACACACAAACACTTAGATATATCTCAGCTCCTGCTCTTTTTTCACACATTTGTTCCCTTGGGGGACTGTTTCTGCATGTCCGCATACATGTGCTTCAGTATAGTCGTTCATGTGATGCGTTTATAAAACCTGGGCCAGCTGAACAAAGGAGAAAGCTTATTAATACAAATGTATTTTTACTCTATGATTGGACTGAATGATGATCTCAATACTGTCAATGTTTTACAATCCACAATATCTTTAACAAAAGGCTCATTAAGGCTTCGTTTCTACAGTCTGTCTTCATTTATTGTGAACAAGAAAGGAGAAGCACCCCACTTTAAAAGTTTAGTGTGTTTGGCTCACAGCTGTGGTCACATCTTTTATGTTTCATTATGCGCTCTGCCACAGCTACCACAACGCCTCATCCCGTTATCTCTCTGTCTGAGTGTCTCTCTCTCTCAAACACACATGCTCATAGGAGGTGTTGTGAAGTGTGTGTGTGTGTGTTGAGCCACTTCACGGTTAGCGGTAGCTGCGCTGACATCTGAAGGGCCTCAGGAGATCTGGGTGAGGGGCTGGTAAGTAGGTCTTTTCTTCATCAGGGCAGACAGTCTACACAACAGCAGCCACAACACAGATGCAGCAAATAGCTTTGAAAATACTTGCCTGATTCTTACTGATGCAGGACTGAAGAAACTTATCGTGCTGTCAATGAAAAAAGTTAGCTAGATACATTTGATACCCCAGGTAACCATGGCAACAAGTGGGTTAGCTTTGTGGGATAACCCACAGACCTAACCCTGTGATTATATGTATCGTTTCTTTTTGCACAGACCTAACTTCTAATGATTTAACAATAAAATTAAAAATATACTCTTTATTACCGTGGATTATCTTATATAATCAGGTGCCATTACTTTGAATCATGGCACATATATCATATCATATGTTTATATTACTAATTATATATATATATATATATATATATATATATATATATATATATATATATATATATATATATATATATATATATATATATATATATATATATATATATATATAATTATTATTATTATTATTTTTTTTTTTACTGTTTTACAAGGTAATTATCCGGAGGCCTGTTCCAAACGAAATTTCTTTTTGTTTTACACTTACACTAAATGACAAGTAAAATATGTCTAAGTCTAAGATAAACAGGATAAAATACACTCTAAGGCTTCCTAGTTTTACTGGTTTTGCATCATTTGTGTGCATCAGATTTTACAAACAGATTATTAGAGAGTTTTTCAGTCCTACATCTGGCATTTCATTTAAGCAACCTTAAACACCCAACCTGGCCTATCCTCCATTACAAAAGCATCAATTTGCAGTGGATGTGCTTTGTCCCCATTTGGTGAATCAGCATGGCTTTTGTGGATATACATCCACACACACAATTTGTTTTTATTTTTATTTTAAATTTTTCTTTTGAAGTTCCAAACCCAAAATTGGCCAACTTTAGATTGTTTTACAAAAAAAAAAAAAAAGAGTGGGTGTATTGGTTTGACCTACCATAGGCTACTGGATTAGGCTTGACTGTTTATTATAAGAAAATGTCTAAGATTACCTGTACCATTAGAAGGTAATTGAGAGAAACAGGATGGGCAGCTAATCACTCTTAAATCAACGTCACCAAGCTCTACGTAATAAAAAAAAAACAGTTTTTGCTTGATCCACTTTGAAAGGCTTATTAAAATAAGATTGCCTACTGAATTAGTTCAGATTTGAAAGCTAAGCTAAAATGTAATGTGGTCTTATCTGCGAAAAAAGGGGTTTAAGCTCGTTTGCTAAAGCTCCTTGGTGCAGTTTGTTTATTTTAAGGAATCATTTCAGCGAAGCGTTGGCTCTTATATTTAATGTTTTATTTACTGTAGTTTGTTAGGTTAATTGGCTTTTCTAAAATTCTCCTTAGGTGTGAGTGTGTGTGTGAATGGTTGTTTGTCTCTGTGTTGCCCTGCGATGGACTGGCGACCTGTCCTCGTGTACCCCACCTCTCGCCCATTGACTGCTGGAGATGGGACCAGCACCCTTTGCGACCCCACTTGGGATTAAGCATGTTTGAAAATGGATAGATGGATGGATGGATGGATGGATGGATGGATGGATGGATGGATGGATGGATGGATGGATGGACTTACTGTAGTTATAATTTTGTCCCAAACAACCATATGTTTTATCTGGATTATGCTGTCTGGTAATTTGTGTCCGACTTCGAAAAGTGCAGTTTCAATGTAATTCAAACTCATTATTTGACATATTTAGTCATTTCTCACTTACTTCAACCAAGACCCTTAAACTCTTGGTGCAAAAGCGTCTTTATTAAATAAAATGTGTAGCAAAATGCTTATACCCTGTTTTGAACATCTCATATGGTGTAAAAAGATGAGGAAAAAGTGACTGGTATTAAGAAAGGATTTTAAAACATACCTGATGTCTAAGGAAAACTCATTCTGTTATCCATAAGCTGCCAAAGGAAAAGTCCCCTCCGAGCTTAGGTTCATCTTTAGTAAGGCAAGGCAAGGCAAGGCAAATTTATTTGTATAGCACAATTCAGTACAAAGACAATGCAAAGTGCTTTACATGATTAAAATACAGGAAGATAAAACAGAATCAAAGCAAGTAGGAAAAAAAATAATAATAAAATAAATAAATAAAATAAAATAAAAGATGCAGAAACAAAAAAGAATATTAAAAACAGTTGGACTAAAGAAAATATGTTTTAGTTGAACTGTTTAACTAGAACAGTCGAAGGCAATCCTAAACAAATGTGTTTTTAGTAAGTTACATGTCACCTTCTCACCTGTCGCAAACCTCCAGTATCTCGGATTCAGTGGTGGAAAATAACGGAGAACATTTTCCTTTTTGATATTTGAGTAATTCTATTATAACCTTCACTACACAACAATTCAAATTCAAATATTGTGCTTTCTACTCTACTACATTTGGAGAAGGCTGCTAGTTACTGGATCCAATTGGCTGAGCATAGCTTTGTAATCCACTTTTGCTGTTTTTCTTTCTTGAAATGTTATTTCAGCATGCTAGGTAGCAGCCCTTAGGACTGAATTTGGACAAAACTGTTTTGCATGACACTCCACAAATGTGACTACCTCAGTGCAGTAATGATTTATTATACTTTATACATTTTATTGAGGTGTTAGTTGTTGCCAAGTTGTTCAGTAGGATGAGATCTCAAAGCAGAGTTGTTGTTTTTTTTCATAATAGATTGAACCATAAACCTCTTTTCTATAGTGAAAGTGTGAGGAGAATCAAGACTCTCCTCTTTTCTTTTGGGTTTGTCTTTGAATAAGAAATAATAATCAAAACAGATTTCCTTTTTTGCCGCATTTTTGTGCTGAAGTTCTTTCCAGGGGTTGTTGAATCTTTAGCAGGTGGTTCTACGTATCACTTCGTCAGGTGGTTTCTGAAAGTACAAGGTTCTTAAAAATGAAACTGAAAGTTAGGTTTTAAAAAATACTAATTTATATATTAGTAGATTTCTCTCTAAGTACTTTTAGATGCATGAATTTAAATACCTAAGTTTTTTCAAGAGTAAGTACTTTGATACTTTAACTTGAGTAGATATCAAGTAACATTTACTTGTAGTTAAGTAAGATACTATACTATACGTATTAGTACTTTTACTCAAGTACTACTGTTGAGAACTTCGTCCACCACTGCTGGGATCAAGCAGCCGCACAGTAGTTTCTGAGAGAGAAGGAAACTCCAATCCTCACAGAAGGAAGTAGTCTTCAGTTAAGGGGGTATAGCCAAGTAGGATGTTTTAAAACAATTTTTTTTCTTTAACTACTGTGCAACATACATGCACAGTAGTTAAAGAAAAAAACAACAACTGCAGATTATGACAAAAAATGCAGAGTATACAGTCATCTGTGGAGAGGCACTTTTCCCTCCCCCAGATGAAGAAATTTACGTCACACAGCTGCAACTGTTTCCGTAGAAGATAGAAACCTTTGCTTTCTCATAGAAATCTGATATAAAACACTCAAACTTTGACCAGAAAGCTGAGGACATTAGCAAAGCGGTTTCAGCAGACAAATATGAAAACTTGATGCCGCATCATAACTTTAAGGACAAATCTATAATCTACCAGTAATGTCTAAATTATTGATCTCCACAGCTGGGGATCTCAGCCCACTTGGGGCACTACACCGACCCCTATTCATTGAGAATTTCATAAAAAAAAAAAAAAAAAAAAAGAATATATATATATATATATATATATATATATATATATATATATATATATATATATATATATATATATATATATATATATATATATATATATTTTTTTTTTTTACTTACTTAATGATATAAAAACAAAACCTAAAAAAAGACTAAACTAATTACCTTTTTTGTTGGTGCTGTTTGTGTTACTATGACTGCCTCGGTTTATAGATTTTTGTTAGATATGTTTGTGTAATAAATCAACTGTTTGGGTCATGAATGAACTCTGGTATCATTTTGTTGGCTGAAAAGCTTTGTTACCTCTGGTCTAGATCATAATACCGTACTTGTTTTCCATTTTGCATCTTTGTTAACATTGATCATATTAATGTTCTTGATGGATGATTTTTTTTACAACCTTGACCATCTGAAACACTAATGTAGATCCACCATCATTTTAAAAGCTTGGCATTCAGATACATGGTGGTTGATGGTGATTATGTAAAATTTTGTGTCACTTTTAAAGCTACAGTGTGTAATAATTACAGGGATATACAGTCAGAAATGTAATATATTATACATAACTATGTTATTTATCATCATCTACGAGCTCAGCCTCTTAACCTTAATATTTGCGTCGCCTTAGAATTCGTTATTTATAATTACATAGGAGCGGGTCTCGCAGCCATGGAGGCAGACATCTTTGCGCTACGGGAGCGCAGAGCCAACAAACTAGCGATTGCGAGATCGCCCATTACGTTCGAAAGTAACTACGGCAAGTTGAGAGAGATGAACTGAGACGTTACTGAAATCTATACCCTACACAGACTAATGAAATAATATCTGTAAAATTATCTATGTAAACCAACCTCATCACTTGAGAAGGTAGGTGATGCGGACGTGTTGGAAGACATTTTGTCCCGTAACGCTCGCCGTACTGTTGGGGGGGAGAAGCGGTGGGGGGGAGATGTTCATGTTGCTGCGGTCTGCAGTCTAAACGCTAGATGTCGCTGAAAATTACACACTGTAGCTTTAATTGATCTTTACAACATCCTGTTGTTAGTAAATGTTAATATTAATAACATTCAGTTTGGCTACAACCGTACTTCCAGATTCATTTTTTTCTTTACATGGAGTTTGTCTATAGTTTCTTTAATTGTCCTTACATTAAGCAAAGATTCATCCCAACAGTTGTTGAATTATCTATGAACATACTGGCAGCGAATACTTAAATATGCTTTTTTTTCTTTATAAAGACCCAACTTGTTAAAAAGAATGTACACTGTGTTCCCAGAGTGTGTGTGTTCACGTATACTCGTCACAAGACTAACAGCACCCAGACATGCTCTGGTTCCTTTGCTGTTGTGCAAAAAACTAAAATAGCATTTTCTTGTCTTGCCTTCTGTATCAGGCTTTCCATCGATCAGCAAATAGGCTTGTATTTCAACCCTCACTTAAGACTTATTTACTTTGTAGATCCCTTTATTTAACACAAAGGACACACATAAAATACACCCCAAAAAACAAAAAATTACAAAAAATATTATAGTTTGCTGAAATTGATCTTTGCTACTGACTGAGAGTCTGGCTGCTTTTCCCTTACAAACACATACAGACAAACAAACTGTTAGATGCACACAGGAAACACCTGTCCTGGGTGAGCTTAGTACCACAGAAACTGAGTGACACAGTAACATCACAATGTGCAGTTTCTCTGCAGAATCACAGACTTATGTCAGTAACATTTGTCTGTATTACATACCGGTACAGACCTCTGCTTTGTTCTCTTGAAATGGGAATAAACTGAGCTCTGATTGGATTATATAAAAAAATAATAAAAAACAAAAAAACACGAGGGCTGTTTATTTGCAGCGTATTTATCAGGTCTGCAACAGGTGTGTTACACACCAGCCTGGTACTTAATGTATATTTGGATTTCAAAATGGCAAAAAAAATTAAAAATGAGAACAATAACTTGAATTATTCTTTCACACTTTTTAAACTTGAAAAAAATAAAAAATAAAAATCAAAAGTTTTTGAATTCAGTTTCCTGATGTGTTTTTTTAAACATAAGCAAGAAATAAGCAGCTTTTTTGTATTTTTGAAAGATTAATGACAAAATGTGTTTTATGCTCAAAGCCTGATGATAACTTTATAAGAAGCGGAGTCTGAAACAAAGTGTTTTTAGAAGGGCTATGGGCTTTTTAGATAACCACACAAAGCCTCAACCATTTTTCTGGCATTGTTTAACCCTTTGTTCAGCTTGCATAATATATATATATATATATATATATATATATATATATATATATATATATATATATATATATATATATATATATATATATACACACACACATATATATATATATATATATACGTATATATATATATATATATATATACGTATATATATATATAAAACAATTATTTAATAATTAATTAATTAATATATGTATATACATATACATATATATGTATATATATACATTTACAGATATATGTATATATATATATATATATATATATATATATATATATATATATATATATATATATATATATATATATATATATATATATATATATATATATATATAACAATACAATAGAACAATAACAATACTGTTTAATTAATCTTTGCTATAATGAAAACTATACTTAATTATTTAAAAACAATTGTGTTGTGTAAAAAAAAAAAGATTGTTAACACAACCAACAACATCCAAAACTCGTTTTTAAAATTACACAACATCTAAAGGATTTCTATAAATGCTGTATTTGTAAGACGTCAAACAGGACTTTTCCCTCGTCCGTAATCTGTTGACAGGAGGAAGTTAAAAGCCACCTTATCATTGTTCAACAAACTGCAAACAGTCTTTTTCCAATGTCTCTTATTTACACTGGCAGAAGTGATCATTGATTGAGACAATATCCTCAAAGATATGTGCGTAACTTTGTGTTTGTCCATCTTGAATGCTGTGACATGTCGTTAGCTGTGTACCCAGCTCTGTGAGTGTGTGATGTGCAGCTTCTTGTGCTTATTCTCACAGGTTGAAGAAGACTTTGGGCATCACATTTCAACCTGGAGACATTGTGCAATGTGATAGTGCAGGATGTGTGTGTGTGTGTGATGTCCCAGGTCCTGTTTCACAGCAGCAATTACACACAGAGAGAGACAGATGCGACTTGCGACTAACAGCCAGCGAAGCATTGAAAGCCTCTGACAGGATGTTAGACTTCAGGAACGTTCTGTGGTCTCGTCTGGCTCCGTCTCAGCAAAGGAAAACAGAGATCCGAACTTAGAGGTGCTCTGGGTCTGAACCCAGCAGATATTGGTGGCTGCTGTGCTAAATAATTGATCACACTGCTAGAGAGGATTAAAAAATATGAAGACAGAAGTGATGGTTTGGATAAGCCTTTTGGTGCAAGGTTAGTTTTACAGGACGGTTTATCTTATTGTCTTGTTTTGTTTTTCTTTTAAGCTGACTTCTCTCTGCAACTTCTGTGCTGCTGATCAGCTTTGGAGATGAAAAGTTATTTTTTTATCATCTTGTCTTTATTTTCCACCTCTTGTTTCCTCAGTGTGCCATGGTGCTCAGGGTCATTATGCCCAAAAACTTTTGAATGACCTGATGCAGGACTACTCCAACGCCCTGAGACCTGTCGATGACACAGACAAGGCCCTCAACGTCTCCCTTCAAATCACGCTGTCACAGATCAAAGACATGGTGAGTCTTTAGAACACTTTAAAACACATCATCAACTAACAGGAAACCACAGATAGAACCCCAGAGCTGAAATTTCAGAGGTTTGGTTGCAAATCTGCCCCATATCTCTAGGCAAGACACTGTTCCCCAGTTTGCATATGAATGTTCATGGGCATAACAAACGAAAGATATAACGAATTACTCTTAAAATATTTTAGGATCCTAAAATTTTCACTTTATATTTATCAGAAAGGGCAACATCTGCTGATACAGATTGATACAATTGGGATATCATTATCTTCTTTCCTTTTTCTTATCTTACTGTCAGACTAAAACCTTATAGCAATGTATATTCATATTTGTGTTATAGTGCAAATTAACTCCACTGATCGCATCCTTCTATGGTTTCATTAAAAGTCTTGCAAACAGCATGACAATCTGAACAAACTATATAAATTTACAGTTTGAAGAAATCTGTTTTGTTTCCCTTTCTAGTTATATATTATAGAAAATGCATAAACCTCAACAGCCACCATCAATCTTTATTAGCTTTACAAAAACAATTAGAACTTGACAACGTGATTAAATTCAACCTAGGATAATATAAAACTATTGCTGAATGGAGGAGCAATGAAAAAATCAAACAAAACTTTAAAAAAGCTTAGAAAAATTAAATGATGTATGGGCTCAGACCGTGGTTATATGAAACTAGTGGATTTTGTGTTCTTGTGTATAAAATGTGAATAGGTCTGTTCATTAAGAAGTATAGAAAAATGCAATAAAAGTTTTACATCAACCCTGTAATTAACAGGAAGGTAGTGGAGCGATCTTAACCCTGCGTTTACAGAACTTGCCCATGGCTCCTGCAAGATTCTATTATCTATATTTATGAGCAAATGTAGAGTACTGGGGATATATTTTAAGTCCTGAATCTAGATTCAACATTTGAAAACAAAAAAAGGCCCTAAGAGACAGCCCTGTGGCAACTCCACATTTAATAACTGCTGCTGTTGACTACCTCCTATGGGTTAAATAAAATCTATTGTTTTTTTTGGAGTTTTTTTTATTTTTTTACGGCACTAGTGTCTTGTTTTTCTGACAGTAGGCTGACAGGAAAGTGGGTATGTGTCGAGAATTAAGGCGTTCGTGCATGGGTCGTGCGCACTAACCACTGCAGCACCTGCACGCCCAAATAAAATATATTGTAATGGACCATTTCCCCGAACAGACTGGAAACATAGACACTTTAATAAACAGTGTAATTCCTTAATTTGACCTCCAATAATGCGATAATACAGAAACTTAAAGGTTGATGACATGAATTCCCTTTTTTTATTACTTTTTTGAATTACTTGTATGCATTCAGAGCTTCTTCATACATTCATCTTTTTGAATAATTTGAAGACAGCAATGTAATAAACATAGAACTGGTTACTGCTTTCAAAGTAATCACTGACTTATATCCCTCTTCTTTTTCTGTAGAGTTTTGACTTGTACAAGTGTGTGTCACATGTTCCGTAATCATTTTAAGATGTGCTTCTTTGTCTGAGCTGCTTTTACCATTTTGAATTGGGATGTTTTAAATGTGCCTTTTGCTTATATTGAAATGGATGTGTGTTTAGGATGAAAGAAACCAGGTATTGACCACCTACCTGTGGATCAGGCAGGTCTGGTATGATGCCTACCTGAAGTGGGACAAAGAGGACTACGACGACTTAGAGATGATAAACATCCCCAGTGATTTGGTCTGGAAACCGGACATTGTTCTTTACAACAAGTAAGTAATAAGAAGCAAATAGATAGGACAGATATTAATCAGAGACTAGAACATTCCTCCATTAATAGGTCATTTCTCCTTGTTCTGTTAATGCAGAGCAGATGAAGAGTCCTCAGAAGCGCCCAGCACTAATGTAAAGCTGCGTTACAATGGAGAGATTGTGTGGGACTCTCCGGCCATCACGAAGAGCTCATGTGTGGTGGACGTCTCCTACTTTCCCTTTGACTGGCAGTCATGCAATCTAACCTTTGGCTCCTGGACCTACAATGGCAACCAGGTTTGTGGATGTATGAGACTCGAAAAATGTGGAAGACCTTAAAACCCAAATCATTGGAGATAAGATGGCTGAAACTTATGAGTTTAAAGCAGTTTGTGTTTTCTCCATGCAGTTGGACATCAGTTTGGGGATGGACAGCGGCGATTTGTCTGACTTTGTAGAGAACGTGGAGTGGGAATGTCACGGCATGCCTGCGGTCAGGAATGTCATGATGTATGGATGCTGCTCGGACCCGTACACAGAAATCACCTATACCCTGCTTCTGAAGCGTCGCTCCTCCTTTTACATATTCAACCTGCTCCTGCCCTGCTTTCTCATCTCATTTCTGGCCCCTCTGGGATTCTATTTGCCAGCTGACTCTGGAGAGAAGGTGTCCCTGGGTGTTACGGTGCTGCTGGCACTAACTGTGTTCCAACTGCTGGTGGCTGAGAGCATGCCTCCTGCAGAAAGCATGCCCTACATAGGTCTGAACTAGTTTTTCTCTATTTTTTGTAATGACTTTTCATAAAAAAAGTTACCATCTTTGCAATAGATTCCGATGGAAATGGGGTTTATTTCCAACTTACACCATTTCACATTTTCCCCCAAAAAACCAGAGTTCGTTAGTTGTTAAGGGTCAGTTTTATTGCCTAGTGCTTCCTTGTGTGTTCTATTCTTCAATTATTTGTAATTACATGATCCAAGTTTGGAAACACCTCAATTCTGTGAGGTTTCTTTATAATAATTTCCTAAAAAGAAAAACATAGCAAATAAAACAGCTTTTTCTTGATTTCTTTTTAGCAGCAAGGACATAATCATGCCCTATAGTTGCAAACTTTGATAAATTAGCCTATTAAAGTCTGCTCTTTAGTAATGGTCACTGCATATTTGTTGCAGCATTTTAAACTAAAAGCAAAACGAGGGCTGATATCAGATGACTAATAAAAAGTTAAAATGATGTGGTGAACCTTGCTTTTTCCATTTCAATACAGTTTTTCTTTTGCCATATTTCTTATGAAAGGTAAAATTGCACCTTGGTATTTACTAAATAGCAAACAAACCTAATTTTAGCCATGCTTAAAGCTACAGTGTGTAATAATTACAGGGATATACAGTCAGAAATGTAATATATTATACATAACTATGTTATTTATCATCATCCACGAGCTCAGCCTCTTAACCTTAATATTTGCGTTGCCTTAGAATTAGTTATTTATAATTACATAGGAGCGGGTCTCGCAGCCATTGAGGCAGACATCTTTGCGCTATGGCAGCGCAGAGCCAACAAACTAGCGATTGCGAGATCGCCCATTACACTCGAAAGTAACTACGGCAAGTTGAGAGAGATGAACTGAGACGGTACTGAACAATAGATGGCAGTATTATGCCTGAGAATACTATCTGTAAAATTATCTATGTAAACAAACCTCATCACTTGAGAAGGTAGTGATGCGGACGTTGTGGAAGACATTTTGTCCTGTAACGCTCGCCGTACTGTTGGGGGGGAGAAGCGGTGGGGGGGAGATGTTCATGTTGCTGCAGTCTGGACGTTAGATGTCGCTAAAAATTACACACTGTAGCTTTAAAATGTGAACACAGCAATCTAAAACCCCTTTACAAATAAACTTGCCATGCCTTGCCTTTAGAAGGACATAAACACCCCTGCCAAAAAAATATAGTGTGTGGTTTAAACTGTGTACTTCAGCTGCATCGCAATCATTTTAACATGTTAAAAAACACAATGACAGACCAGTCTCCGTTTTCTGAGATTTTATTTCAAAAGTTCTGATATTTCTGTGTTTATTGATGCATCTACATTACTTAAAGTTCCCATTGCTTTTGAATAAGAAAAAATAAAATGACTAATAACTAGAAAAGCACTCTGAGAGTGAAGACATCCGCCAGGCAGCAAATGTTGCCCTAAACTGTGACTTATACCCATAGCTTAAACACACATATGTTCTGGATCATTATGAAATTTTCCTTCACTTTGCTTCCTTGTTTGATCAGTAGACCGTGACCTCCAGCGAGGCACGGCTCACCTTTCCGCTGGTTCTGTCTTCAGTATAACACTTCTGGACTTTTTGAGTCCGACGCTGAATCTTTCAATAGTCACTGCTGCCACCCTCTGGTTTAGGGGGGAACTGCTTGTTCCGCCAAATAATGTTGAAGAATCCGACGAAAAATTCCTGCATCCAGATTATGATGTGGATCATCATCAAAATTGAACGGATTTTTCTTAGATTGAGGTGCACCTTTTGTAAAAATGTCATCAAAACCTTTCAAGTTAGCCTGTGCACAGACAGACAGACAGACACAAACTTGAATAAAAACATAACCTCCTTATAATAATGAATAAAAGGTAATAATAAAAAATATATATATAGCATCCTTTTTTCTAAAATAATGCTGTAAATCTGTTGCATTATCTTACATAACATTTTCAATAAAACCTCCTGCTTTTATTTTTGTTCCATGTTTTGTAGCAGAGAGATATTAGTCCATAGCTTCTTATTTCTGGGGCAAGTTAATTATGGGGCGTTGAAATCGTTGGTTATGGATTTAGATTTAAAAATTAAATCCAAGAGATTAAAGCAAAATTTTCTGTCCTGTTTATTTATTAATTTTTTTTTGTTTAAACCCTCTCTGTGTTTGAGGAAAAAAATCTTGTTTTAAAGGAGACTTGGGATAAATAAGTAACTATAACTTTAAAGTTGGGGATGTCCGATAGTATTACCCTCCCTAAATGTCTGATTTTTGTCTCTGTCCTGTTCTGAAGGGAAGTACTACATTGCCACCATGACTATGATCACAGCCTCCACATCCCTTACCATCTTCATCATGAACATCCATTTCTGTGGTGCAGAAGCCAAGCCGGTTCCTCACTGGGCCAAGGTGCTAATCATCGACTACATGTCGAAAATCTTTTTCGTCTATGAAGTAGGAGAGAACTGCACAACACCCGAGAGCGAGAGGACCCCGCTCTATCCAGAGGAACCCTCGAGTGACAAGGGTTGCTACTATGAAGACAGCTTCCATAATGGCTTCTACCAACATGACAGCAACCCGTACAAGTACAGCAATGGCCAATCTGCCCATCATCCCAACAAGAATTACAGAAGCCAGGCGAACGGAAACACCAATGGTAGATACAACTTGTACAACAATCACAACAACCATGCTTCCACCATGCAGAGGGGTGAAATCAAACAAGAGCCCACACAACACTATCACCACATCAGACGGGACGAACTGGACTACCAGGCTCCTCCACACCACCCCCGAAACCTTCAGCACCTGAACGGGGGGTTTAAAGAGCAAAATCTCTATGCAGCAGAAAAGATTCAGCTCCCATCTTGCCCCTGTTGCTGCCCCTGCCTTCAACATAAACAGGTGACTCAGCACTCTGCCTCAGTTCTTTATATTCTACGATCTCCTTAGCCTTCTTTTGGTGCTCAACTTAACTAATCTTTGTTTCTTTGAAGGTGGTGAAAAACATCCAGTACATTGCCAACTGCTTCAGGGAGCAGAGAGCCACATGTGCAAAGGTAGCAGAGTGGAAAAAAGTTGCCAAGGTGATGGACAGATTTTTCATGTGGATCTTCTTCATCATGGTGTTTCTCATGAGCATCCTCATTATCGCCAAGGCATCTTGACAGAGCCTTCATCAACAATAGTCCTCAGTGTTACTACATTCAAATATGTCAACATCAGATAAGACTATTGTTATCACAAAGAGACAGTGTGTGTATGTGAGTCTGGTTGAATTTCTTTGGTCTGATCACTCTGCTGCACACAGATTTAACCACTTCACTTAAACTCACCTAAACCCTCCCCCAGCCCTGTTGGGTAGTTAAAGTCAGGTGTACCTGCATGTGTCACGATGCGCCGGAGCTGTAAGACAATCCCGGCCCTTGCCTCGAACATGCATGGACTCTGCATTATTGACAAGCTAACAGTCAGACAACCAGCTGTAGGCATTATGTTTCTGACAATAAGCAACCAGATGCTGTTTCCAACTTTGCTCTCCATATTATACAAGCAGCAAAGGAAATATTTTAATATGACTCAATGAGAATTATGTGCTTTATGCATGATAGAAATCAATAATGCAGTCTGGTCAGTTTTTATTAAAACACAAAGCAGAGGTCTGAATATTTCTTTATTTATAATTTTATGACAAAGACCAGTTGTGATTATCAGAAAGAAAATTGTAATATGTATCTTGACTAAGTTCTATATCTACATATATTAAGGCTGACCTTCCAGTTTTTTTGCACATTTTACCTCAGGATGATATTTTTGAATGGTTTAATCAAAAAAGTCTAATATTGTTCTATAAAAGGTCATAGTTCCCAGTATTAGTGCAAGCGCACTGGAAGGGGTGGGTGGAGTAAGGTGTGTGGGGTACTCATTCCAATTTCTGCAAATAAAGCTCAAAATCCTTCATTAGCAGGTATGTTGCAATAAAACAAAAAAACAAACACAAACTTTCGTATGCTCAAGACTTCATTGTTGGACAATTATCTACTTAATGAGTAGACTTTGTAGCACTACTCTATCTGCCATGTAGTAATAATACCTAAAGGTGGTTTGTTTGTATGAAGTACATAATAATGAACTTCTAAAATAGATACTAAATATTAAATATTGTTTGCTCTAAACGCTTTTAAGCTACTATATAAAAGTTTTAATACATGTAGCAAACACATCTGCATTCTCCATGACATTGACCTTTTTGTTGGTAACTGTTCATTCTTTATGAAATTATCCCTGAACACTGATTTCTGAAAAATAATCAACATTTTGACATAGAATATGTTATTAAAATTAAATTATTTAACTAGAAAATTAAATTATTTTACTAGAATTTGTTTTCTAATATTATTTTTTACTCATAGTCTTTTTGCATGAATTAGTCTTTAAATGGCAATTTATGCTGATTTATGCTATATGATAAATACTAGTACATCTAATAAATAATCATCTTAAAATTCTAAAAAAATCGATAGAAACACAATAATCCTAATATTTAATACCCTATAAATGTTAAGGGATGGTTGTATTATAAATGTCTAATGCTTAACATCTGGCATTCTTCTGACTCTGTCGGGTTTCTACCCAGACTATGAGGCACAAACAGCTGTAAATACTCGCCAACAGCCCAACATCTTTTATAATTTTCTTCATCCTCATCCTTAGTGCTAAGCCAGGGATTAGATTCTTCCCACAGCAGCAGTGTGAGTGGATTCCGTCTCTAGGCGACCGTGACAGCAGCAGATGCCACGCTGAGGAGGTCCTGCTTAGAATTAGCCCTGAGATTTATTTTTTTTATTTCCATTTAGCGTTGATGTGTGCGTGAGAAAGACCTGTGCATTGGACATGTATGAAAATACGGGACAAAACGCATCCCTTAGTGGTTAAATATGAGATGCAACATTTTTCTGCCAATGTTACATAGCACCGACTATTATACAGGAGTGAGGTGGTGCTGTGACATGTCATCTGTTGCAGCTGATCAGATTTCAGGGGGGTATTGGGTAAATAGCAGATTTGTTCTTGTCACGTTCAGTTTTGGACTCTTGCTTGGATTTACAATTTTCTTTTCTGGGTTGAACAGATAAAGCAAGATATGAGTCGTTATGATGCATAGAAATAAAATGAGTCTTCATTTTGAACTTAATAACAGGTTCTATCATGCTATGGAGAATCTCACACCTAACTGAAAACCTGAAGGTCAATATTTTAACCTAAAATGGCTTTCAGAAGGCTGTGAGGAATATTCTCCAAAAACTTAAAAAGAGACCTAAGACAAAAAAACAGTTATCAAAAGCAACTCCACAAACTTAATGAGACAATTAAAACAATTATTTGTTTTTTGTGCAGTGGACATTTTTATTCCCTTTAAGGACAACAATGGACAAGGGTCCATGAAGGTAAGCCTACAAAATAAAATCTTATCAAAACTTAAAACAGCTCTTATGAACAAATATAGGATTACAAACATCTTAAAAACTGCCTAAAGTGGTACTGAACAGATAAACTACTTTTGTGAATATGATGAAAACTCTGACCTGAATTTCATTTTTCTAACACAATTTCAGTAATAAATTAGAAAAAACAACAATAAAGCAAACGAAAAAAGAATAATAATGGAAGAAAAAGACAAAATCCTTTTGCTTTAGGTTTGTCGCAGTCAGAAACCATAAACATTTCTAACTTCAGTGGAATACAGAATGAATATTTTAGACCCCAGCTGGAGCTCATTATTATTCCTATAAATAGGTGTCCTGGTTTCCAACTGAATGAACAAACATCTTCCTGCAATCACTGAAGGTCCCTCTTTATGTCATGTTTTAAAGTATCATTTTCTTAAAGTAATTCTCCTCCACAAAACTGAGGATAGATGAGAGAATAAATTGTTTCTTTTCTGCTCATTATATAAAGTGACTGAACCGCCTGTCTAAAGTGAACTAAAGCATCAGTGAACCAAATTAAAACATAATTGAATCCCAGCTTAAAAATCTTTGTCTCCATCTAGTGGAGTCTGTAAACAAGGACGCATTAAGAAAATAATCTGCCAGTGTTCAACAACACATATACTTCTATAACTTTTAAAGATATGGTCACATTCCCACTACAAACCTTATTGTATTTCATTAGCCCCGTTTTACTTTAATTGCCACCTTCTAAAGTCCATTAAGTAGCAAGCAGCATCCAACTGTGTTTAATTTGATCTCATTATAAATACAGCTGTTCCACGAAAGCCTCAGAGCTTTGTTAAAGAACATTAGTGAAGACCACTGAACACAGCAGACATGTCAGGGGATAAAGTGTGAAGAGGTTTAAAGCAGAGTTGGGATATAAAACAATATTGTAAGCTTCGAACATCTCACAGGACACTGTTTAATCTATTATTTAAAAAATGTAGAGTATGAAAGATGCACACGAAGTACCTAAGTCTTAGGAGCAGGCAAAGCGCTTCTGTTGGTGCTGCAGGAGCTGCTGGTGAAGGCTCTGCCCCATTTGCAGTTTTTTCTGCTCCTGTGAAACAAACAGAGAAGCTAAAGGAAGTTGCTCTATCTGATTAGACTATTTTTTAAAGTTGCTTTGAAGATAGCCATTAAATGGTGGAAGGAACTTTCCTTGCATGGCAGGGACCCTTGGATGACACTGAAAGCTCCTTTAAAACGATAATTTGCTTACAAAGGTCAGTTCCTGAATCAAGTTCTGTATCCCATCCTTTTTAAAACTTCTAGTTAAAATAATGTTGGTCCCGATTTTTAGCCCCGATGATGTATTTTCTCGGTTCTGCTTTAAAAAAAAAACTCTGCTTACGGGCTGAATATTATTGGTGATACTGCCATTTGACCTGTATTCCCAGATGTACTGGTTCTATTTTTAATTTAGCAGAAAACCTTCACCATTTTAGAGAATTTTGAGCAAACATTTTGTCCCACCCAGCTAAGATCATGACAAACGACATCATAAGTTACCATAACTAAACAGATGACAGTCAGCTCAGCTATACACTGTAAAAGTCACCAGGTGACTGTGAACTCAATGGAGGGTTATGTAGATTCATAGATCAAATCAGTTCGCAGATATTCCACAATTTTCTTCAGTTGCATAAAAATGAAGGTCAGTCAATAATTCCTGGTACTTTTGTACTAAGTGGGCTTTTTATTATTCTGGTGTTCCATGTCTCAGAGAGCAGACTTTGAAATAAGCTACCTTAAGCCCGGCGTACACTGTGCGATTTTCGGGGGATTTTCCAGTCGTACGAGAATCTTTCGATCGAGCCGACTTTCAGCCTGATTGTGCGTCGTGAGTCGTGTAGTGTACAGGGGGTTATGAGGGGCGATGAGCCTCATGAGGTCGGGAGAAAATCAAACATGTTTGATCGGGAGGTGGTTGTGAGAGGCTCATAAGGTTGGGAAAAAATGTGATTTTTAATATATGAGTTTGATTTTCTCCCGACCGTCGTGGGCAAATCGCTCATGGCGCATGCGCAAACAAGGATTCTTCTGTAAATACAGCAGCGTGGCAGGGATGCAATGAGTGAAATGCAGTTCCGTTTGTAAAAATGACAGACCGTAGTAGCCACATTTGCTCAGCCATGTCTTTTTTCCAAATACGTCGTCGCCTTTTCTTTTTAGGACTTTCAGCACAAAATTGCCAGTGCGGTTCACTATAGTGAGCTTCATATTCCCCTTCTACATGTTTTGCTTCCGGATAGACGAGTCAGAGCAGCTTCATCTCAATGCGGAGCTGAGTCCAACGTGGTTTTTAGTCCTACAGTGTGAGCAGGTAGATCGTAAATCATGAACTATAAGCTCACACTGTACGACGAAACCCTGCGATAAGTCGTACAGTTGAGCAGGTGCTGCGTGCAATGATTGAAATAAATCGCACAGTGTACGCCCGGCTTTATAAATCACTGAATATCTTACCACCCAAAAACATAGATATTTGTTGTTGTATAAACTGCTCAGGCCACTCCAGCCATGTTCAGTTCTTCACCAAAAATATGTAAAAATGGCTGTACAATTTATATAGTAGTTATATACATGTAAATATTGTAATTGGCTCAATAAGAAAATGTTGTTCGAGGTAGTGAAGTTTTTCCTGTGGGACCAATTCTCAATCTGTGACAGCAATGTTTGACTTTTTTTCAGTGTACCGTCCTGCTCTTTATGATAACCAGCAGCTTTACATTTCTGGTTATTAATCCCATTCTCCTTTAAATTGCTTTTACAATTCCCTGAGAATGCTGCACTTGCCTGAAGACAGTTATTTATAAATAGTTCCTGTTTCAATAGATTGTTATGTATTAGTCTTTTCTAGAGTTTTATGGTGTAAAACAGATGCTACTTTCCTTTCATCTGTAGTTCTATCAGCACTGAATATGTTTACAATGCGTGTGGTTTTAATCCATAACAGTTGCATCTTTCTGATCTTAGTCGGGACGGGAAACACATCGATTCCAGTTTTTCCTTCTCAGATGACCAATCAGCTTACTTTTTTTTATAAAACAAGCTAAGAATCAATTGAACTTTGCTCTCACTTACTTCCCAACATACAAAAACACTCACAAAACTCAGCAAAGCATAACAAACCAAACCCTGTATGCATTGATTCCAACTTTGCTCGACTGTGACTTATCGCTATTTTGTGAGTTCTCAGAAACCTGCTGTGTGGAGTGTTTTGAAGACAGACTATTGAACCACCTCCAGACAGATATTAAAAAGCTGATGATGATGATGGGCAGAGTTCATATTGGCTTTCACATGACACACAGTTAAGATACACCCACAGTGACGGCACCTTTATGGCTGCTGAAGATCTTCACTTTCCTCAGTTTATGGGTGAAAATGATCAGGAACAACATGACATCCCTCACTAAGCAGTCCTCCATCACGCCTGCTGGTAAGACATTTTTCCTCCTCTTTTACTAATCTAAATATTCTAATTAACTGTGTCCTTTTTGACTCACCAGGAAAGAAGTCAACTCCTTCCTCCACAGCCATCAGAATGGTTTTAATAGGGAAGACAGGAAGTGGTAAAAGCTCCACTGCCAGCTCCATCCTGGGCCGGAAGGTCTTAGACCTGAAGCTCAGCAATCCCTCCATCAGCCAGCGCTGCCACAGGGCCAATGGAGAATTTCGTGGGCGACAGCTGCTGATTCTTGACACACCTGGTGTACTGGACACTCATCAGACTCTGCAGGATGTGCAGCGGGAGCTGAGGAGGAGCGTCAGCCTCCTCTTCCCCGGACCACATGCTTTCCTGATTGTTATCCAGATCGGAAGGTTCACTCAGGAAGAGAAGGAGGCGGTGCGACACATCAGGGAGGCAATGGGCCCCCATGCCTTGAGCTTCTCAGTGGTGGTTTTTACTCACGGAGACCGACTGGAAGAGGGCGCATCCGTGAAACATTGCCTGATAGACCAGTGTAGAGACCTGGCCGAGCTGGTGGCTGGATGCGAGGGAAGGTACTGTGTCTTCAATAACCAGAACCTTAACAACAAGGAGCAGGTCTCTGAGCTGATTGCTTTGGTGGAAGGCATGATGCAGGATCACGGGGAGAGCTACTACAACAGCAGAATGCTTCAGAAAGCAGAGGAAGATCTGGCACATCGGCTGGAAGAGCAGAGTAAGCTGCTCGCTGAAAAGAATGAGCTGCAGAGACAGAAGCAGGACAATACGGTGAAGGAGTGGTATGAAAAAGAGTTAGAGAAAAGCAAGAGGGAAATGGAGGAGCTGAGGAAAAAACTGGAGCTGGAGAAAGAGAAGGAGGAGAAACGGGTGGAAGATCGGGAGAAGGCCATAAGGCAGGAGATTGAGAAGAAGACGCAAGAGGTCCTGAGACTGACAGATATGGAGAAGAAGAAAAGAGAAGCTATTCAGGACAGGCTCGATAAAGTTAGCCGAATGTTGGAGGAGCAGGTTAAGCGAGAGGAGAAGATGAGACGATCCATGGAGGAGAAGATCCAGAAGGACAGCGCAGAAAATGAGAGGAAAGAGAGGGAGTGGCAGCTTCAGCTCATCCGAATGGAGCAGGCCCTCAGGCAGAGAGAGGAGATGGAGAAGGACACTCTGCAGGGAGAGCTGGACAAACTCTGCCAGAGGCTAGAAGAGCTGACCAAGAAGGAGGAGGAGAGAAAGAGGCAAATGCAGGATGTTCTCAGGCGGGAGCGGGAGGAGACTCAAAGGGAACTGGACCTGCAGATGGAGCACCTGCGGGCAGAAAAACGCAAAACTGAGGCCTTCAAACGGGAGCTGAAGTTCCTGAAGATCAAAATCGAGCAGCAGAAAGAGTGCGAAGAACGTTTGAAAAAACTCCTAGATGAGAACCTGCTGAAAGAGAGGGAAAACTGTGACAAGCAAATCTCCTCGCTGAAGAGGCTGTGTGGCCAAAAGTGCGCCGAGATACTCGAGAAGAGAGCTGCGCAGCCCCCTAACAGAGCAAGAGGTGTGGTCGGATATGTGCAGGAAATGGGACTGCTAGGTCTGAACGCAGCTCTGGAGAAAGTCGGAACTCCATGCAGCATTCAGTGACGAGTCAAAACTATATTCCTGATATTCCTGCTTTCATGTCCTGTTTGCTTTGATGATAAAACACATCTGTACAGGAGACCAAAATGAAATACTTCGTGCAAGTCCAAGTTCAGACAAATGGATAGACGAGTCTTTGAAAATCTATTTTCTATTGTTTTGTCCCAGATTCTCAGTTACAATCGTATCTTAAATTTTATTCTAACATGCTTTAACCTAACTACTTAATTAACAGGCCTGCAACCTGTTAATCTGTTAGGATTAACCAACATTTTTATGATATACACTCCAACCAGCTTCCTTTTCTCAGCTGAAGAAAAGACAAAGGTTCCCACAACATGATGCTTCCACGTCCATGTTTCATTGCAGAGATTGCAAGTTATTCTGGATGCTATTGATTGTATTTTAAGGAATCCTAATAAAGGGGTTGAGTATAAACTTGTGTCTCAATTTCTGGGTATCACACACGTCTTGTTAAATACACTAAAGTGTTGAGGTGAGAAAAGATGAGAAGAAATAAAAAATTGGTATAAATGCTTGGCTAGACTTTCTGTAATTGACTGAACCAATTACACACAGTCAGGAGAATAACTACCCATGTGAAGGAAATTTCATTCCAACAAATGGATGTGATTCCAGTGTGTGTCCTAAATCAGCAAATGCACAAACGCTCAGAAATGAAGGAGATAATCTGATTATGTAGTCTCTACCCTCACCCCTGTGCTGTTCTCCCTGTGTCCATTATTTAAATCTGTACTCAAACCAAACGCTGCCATTATTCAAAGAACAAACATCTCTCTAAGGGTTGATTCTGTGTTTTTTTAAACATACTGTGATCTGGGCATTACCACCTGTTTATTCTAGGAACAATAAAGTCTTTTTTAATCTGCACCACATCCCCAGATGTGATTTAATATCATGCAGTTGTGTTTGTTATTGAATACACTTGTGTTGCTAATGTTATGGGTTCCAGCTGAAAGCTTGATACTTGAAAACATTAAATAATGTTTTCTGAATGAATAAAAGCTGGACAGTAAGTAGGGGTTTGCTCTTTCAGACCAGTGTATCACAACGACAACATTGAAAAATGTCTTACACGTGTTAATGATTTTACTTGCATCAGTTGGTATAGATGTTTTTCATAACACCTCAAATTTGAATTCTCACCTCTTCTTAGTAAAATAAAAAATGAAGTACATACGAATATTTTCTATGTACTGCACATTACTCTGTCCACAATAAGATATCTTCATGGTGCTGTAGGGAAAAGATAAAATACACAATTAATATTGTTCATCTTGAATATTTTTTTCATTATATACATTATTAAATGCATTATATAATTTTGCATATTTATAGCTAAGATGCTTATCAATGTTTAAATACGACTTTAATAAGAAGCCGTCTTGTTCTTCTAAATTAAACTTTTCACATGCAAGGGTGCATCAATTTTAATTAAAGAGGCTACCAGCCGATAGAACAACATATTTATATATGTAATACAACCATAAACGACAATATCAAAATGGGGTTTAATTAATTATCTCATTTAAAGCTACAGTGTGTAATAATTACAGGGATATACAGTCAGAAATGTAATATATTATACATAACTATGTTATTTATCATCATCTACGAGCTCAGCCTCTTAACCTTAATATTTGCGTTGCCTTAGAATTAGTTATTTATAATTACATAGGAGCGGGTCTCGCAGCCATTGAGGCAGACATCTTTGCGCTACGGCAGCGCAGAGCCAACAAAGTAGCGATTGCGAGATCGCCCATTACGCTCGAAAGTAACTACGGCAAGTTGAGAGAGATGCACTGAGACGGTACTGAACACACAGACTAATAAAATACTGTCTGTAAAATTATCTATGTAAACAAACCTCATCACTTGAGAAGGTAGGTGATGCGGACGTTGTGGAAGACATTTTGTCCTGTAACGCTCGCCGTACTGTTGGGGGGGAGAAGCGGTGGGGGGGAGATGTTCATGTTGCTGCGGTCTGCAGTCTGAACGTTAGATGTCGCTGAAAATTACACACTGTAGCTTTAAGAGACTGAAATCGATTTTATAGATTAACTGCAAACAGACTGATGTGTTTAGGGTTTTATTTCAATAAATTACGATTTTTGTACTTACACCAAAGTTTCCCACAACATGATGCTTCCATTACCATGTTTCATTGGAGAGATTGTGAGTTATTCTGGATGCTATTAATTGTATTTAAGGAATCTAAAAAAGGGGTTGAGTATAAACATGTGTCTCAATTTCTGATTATTCCACACAATGTTTTGTGAAATATCAATTATGTTCTTCTAAATGAAATTTTTCACATGCAAGGGGGCATCAATTTTAATGCCTATGAAATTATATATTTAAATATGTAATACAGCCATAATTGATCTAATTGAAAAAAAAAAAACAATTTAAAAATGGGGTTTAATTGATTATCTAATTTAAGAGGCTGAAATCGATTTTATAGATTAATTGCATACAGCATGTTTTTGAGGTTTTATTTCTATAAATTATGATTTTTGTACTTACACCAAATACAATAACTAAATATAAGATTTGAATATTTGAACAGATCAAAATGCTTTTTAGATACAGAAATATGGATTTAAATAAAGGGTCTGCTTAAACATTATTATTTTTAATGAAGTTAAATCGATACATTGGCAGCTAAAAGATAGCGGAATAAGTTGATTCCATTTAAAACACTTTCTTAAATGAAACATACTTTTATACTTTAGAACGTGCTACATTTTGGGATTATACAGACATAAATGAATTAGTTAATTAAATCTGTTAATTTCTTACTATTTTCTCTAATTTTCAAACCTCCAAGCTTGGATTGATCAGCACCAAATTCCCAACCAATCATGGATGTGGAAGATCAGAGAATCATGGTGAACAAAAACCTTCAGTTTGTGATTAAACCAAATTGGTCTAAATACAATCAAGAAACAATCATAAAAAACATAAAATTTGTAGTCAATTAATAATAGGTCATTGTTGACTCCTTTTATCTGACAAATTCAACAAGCAACTTCAGGGTTAAGAAGCCCAGTTTGGTGGTGGGAAGACTGAATCATAATAATTTAGCAAAACTTGGATTATATTTGAAACTCCAAAATAGTAATAAACACAGATCCTGATACAAGTAGTTAAAATAGGAACCTATCATCCTTGCTATTCTTTGCTGGATACCGAAGAAACCAACAAGAATATCAGCTTAAATATCTTTAGATCAAACATTAATGCTATAAATAAACAAAATGTTTTTAGGTTTTGACATGTTAGATAAGTAGTAGCCTATTTATAACCCATTCAAAGCAATGTTCTATGTCTCAGTGAGTATTGAGGAATCATTTTCAGGTTACACCATTCATAACAGTGCACAGGCCACCCATCTTGGTTAAAATATTTTTATTTTACCTCTTCTTTATGCACACATGCCAAGAGTTTCTTTAATATCTAAAATAGCTCCCTGTCTCCTGCCTCTCTCATGTGACCCCCTCTCTCTGCCCAGCGCCTCTCAGAGCTGTGTTGGGCGGTCAGCTGCTTGTGCTGTCTGTCCCTTTAGATCTGCAAGGGCTCACAGCAGCAGGACAGATTAGTCTGATCTCAGCATGCTGCGCCATCCCCGCTCTGACTGCGAGCGCTTTCTACTGGTTTATGCATCCTACAGTCCTAGTCGTGCGGCTTGCCATGCGGTCCCGGTGCGTGGATCTGGACAATGAATAACACCAGCTTGGCGCTGGTTGGAGCGGGCAGCTTGGAGAGCCCACCGGCGCACAGAGCTCTAACAGGCTGCGTCCTGGTGCTGCTCATCATCTGGACGCTTTTGGGCAACATGACAGTGTGCGCGGCAGTTTGTAGATACCGCCACCTGCGCGCCAAGGTGACCAACATCTTCATCGTGTCTCTGGCTCTGTCGGACCTCCTCGTCGCGCTCTTGGTGATGCCGTGGAAAGCCGCGGCCGAGGTGGCCGGCTTCTGGCCGTTCGGCGGTTTCTGTAAGACGTGGCTGGCCTGTGACATCATGTGCTCCACGGCCTCCATCCTTAACCTGTGCGTCATCAGCGTGGACCGGTACTGGGCCATCTCCAACCCGTTCTGCTACGAGCGGAGCATGAACAGGAGGGTGGCCTTCATCATGATCGGCGTGATTTGGACTGTATCTGTGGTGATCTCCTTTGTTCCGGTGCAGCTGGACTGGCATCGGGCGGAAATCAGTGACCCCGGCGGGCGGACTACGACCCCACGCGTGGAGAGCACCAACAGAAGCTGTGACTCCAGCCTGAGTCGCACTTACGCGATCTCCTCCTCCCTTATCAGCTTCTACATCCCTGTAGTGATCATGATCGTCACCTACACCCGGATCTATCGGATCGCACAGACGCAGATTCGGGTGATATCCTCCCTGGAGCGCGCGGCAGAGCACGCCCAAAGCTGCCGGACACATGTTCCAGAGCTCTTCCCACACATGTGCACAGAAATCGGAGCCAGCTCCTATCAGCCCCGCATCAGCATCCACCCTGTTACCCAGTGCCCAGATCAATCACACCGGGAGCTGAGAGTCTCCATCAGAAAGGAGACCAAAGTGCTGAAAACTCTCAGCATCATAATGGGGGTTTTCGTCTGCTGCTGGCTGCCCTTCTTCGTCCTGAACTGCGCTCTTCCATTCTGCCCCGAACCAGGGGCCCCGGGGGCCCATCGCGGCCCCTGCTGCGTCAGTGAAAAAACCTTCGATGTCTTCGTGTGGATCGGGTGGAGTAACTCCTGCTTGAATCCGGTGATTTATGCGTTTAACGCAGACTTCAGAGACGCCTTCCTTCGCCTGCTGCGCTGCCGCGGCAGAGGCTTCCTGTCGGCGGTGAGCACCGCGGTGGAGACCATGATGGCGGGCAACGAGGCCGGCCAGAAGAGGCGCGACAGCACCCTGAAGCCGAAGCTCAGCGTGTCCGTGAACACGCGTGGGAGTCAAGACAGCGGGGACACCACCATGGTGGTGTTTTATCACGGAAGGGCCACGATGGAGCAGGGGACGGACACTGAGGAAAGACTGACACAGATACCCAGATAAATCCCAAATCTATGCACATTTTGTTACATTTGAGTTACATTTAAATGGTTTTTGACTGTTAAACAAATGAATCAAAACAAATAGGTTTTATTTTTCAAATATGGCAGTCCAAAAGTTTCACACTTTGTTAAAAAGCCAAAGACATTAATCTAGTTTGTAGAATCTTTCCTAAATTAATCAAAATGGAAACAAAGACGTGGATATTTAACCATTTTATAAATTGTGAAAGTCCTATTTTGTTTTTCCAAAATTGTTATTGTTTTCAATATATTTTTTCTTAATTCATACATATTTAATCGGATAGGTTTTTTTTTATATCTTAACTTAAAGTACCAAAAATGTTCCGGGCTGATATATATGATAGTAGGTGATTATATTTGTGAGTAATCACATATTGTAAGTAAATCACTTTATTATTCTTTTCATTTTGCAGCACGGTTCAATGATGGGAAAAGAAACTCACCTCAGTCACCTGTTCGCCCTTCATACAGGTCTTTGCTGACGCGTTTAAACCTCCTGTTTAACATCATTTTTATAGCAAATGAGAGAATTCAATGACTCACTTAACCCCACGCCCCTCCACCACCAAAAAGTTCATAAAAAAAATGAAATCTTAAGAAAGAAACCCACTCTTTAGCCTTCTGGGTCCCTGGGCTGCATGGTAAAATGACCTGCAGATGAGCTTTAAAGTTATGAAGTGCATTATTTTGATATTAGATAACCTTTTTAAATATTTCCCACCAGCCTGACCAGGACACTAAAGGAAGAAGTGGGAGAATATTGATGGATAGATATTTTTTTCTTACACTATATTGAATACTGCCATCTTCTTTTCTTATAATTGAAGTATTTTTCCAGAAATTTTATCCACTAACATATTACCAAAGAATCTGAATGTTGTGGGATTTTAAAAACTGCTTTCAACAATTCAAAAAAACAAAATATCCTCTTTATAAATGTAGTGATAGTTATTGGTCTTAGCTTTTTCCTAATAACAATGATGCCGCACTAATTGTCAATATTTTAGGTTAAATGTTACCAATGATGCATTGTGACCCACATGTGCTGGGCATATACGTGACAGAAATGCACATTGATGATACTAGTGAGATCCAGGTCTACAGCCTTCTGAAACAAACCTACAAAAATGCAGTAAAAGCTAAACCTCTCACGTACACAAACCAAAAATGTCTGAAGGTGCAGTCACACAAAGTAGAATGAAGAAATTAGGTCAATGTTGATCTCTTGTCTGAGGGCATTTTGGCTCATTTCTGTGAGGTGGATTTGCCTATACGTCATGACATGCAAAGCATTGTGAGATTGCTTATAGCTCCAAAGCACAGGTGTCAAACTGGTTCCAGAAAGGGCCGTGTGGCTGCAGGTTTTATTTCCAACCAAACAATAGCACACCAGACTCCATTCATCTCATCAAGTCATCATGTTCCGATTGAACTCACTTTATGAGATAAATGGAGTCTGGTGTGCTATTGCTTGGTTGGAAAGAAAACCTGCAGCCACACAGCTCTTTCTGGAACCAGTTTGACACCTCTGCTCTAAAGCGTCAGTGAGGGACATTGATGGTTGGAGCATTGATAGGAAGCATGCAGGCTCCAATGTCTGTCTGTCTGTCTGTCTGTCTGTCTGTCTGTCTGTCTGTCTGTCTGTCTGTCTGTCTGTCTGTCTGTCTGTCTGTCTGTCTGTCTGTCTGTCTGTCTATCTATCTATCTATCTATCTATCTATCTATCTATCTATCTATCTATCTATCTATCTATCTATCTATCTATCTATCTATCTATCTAGTTAAAGTTAAATTCAATTACATTAATCCTATTCAATAGCACCAATTTAAACCATGTCCTCTCAAGGCACTTTACAGAGCCAGTGCATTCAGATTGGTTAAAAGTTTCTTTCAATTAAAACCAGTTGATTGCATCCAGTCATTGACTTGCAAGACATGCTCCACCTGAATGAGCTTATGGTAACCATTCTCACTTGCATTTTTTCATGGATTCTTCAGCAATTCCTCACACAGTGCTCAAATGGTCAATGATCTCAGAGGTATGATGTGAGAGAGAGAGAGATTAACTCACATTTTAAAATCCATTAAAGACTTGTATATTTTCACCAGTCTGCTATATCAGATGTCACTCTCATTTTAATGAATTTATTAATAAAACATTGAAAATACCCTCTTAGCATTTCTTGTCTCAGCCTTGGTTAGCTCTCAGATACCTCTGACCTCCTAACGTTACATTTTAAAGCTATAGCCTACAGTTACAATGGAATGTGGATTCTCACTGGCTCACAATGCTCTCTACCATTTTCTTCATGCACAATTTGGTCTTTGAATGTGCACATGATCAGATCAATTGTCAGCTTCTCCAAAAATGCTAAAGCAAATATGGTATTAGATTCAGGTGGGGCAGGGTTAATCTAAAACATACAGAACTGATATAATCCACCTCTTCCCTAAGGTCATAAAGGTACATCTGTGTGGGTGGCCGTGGATTAGCGGGTAAAGTGATTATCTGGGGGTTTCATTCCCAGGTCCTAAAATAGTTTTGTTTAGGGAGCAAGACTCTAAATCTCACACTGCCTCTGATACAGAGCATTGCAAAGTATTGTTATAATCTAAACATAAAAAATGTGCATATATCGGCCAGAAAGCAGCATAAACTTTGTTCCAATTTAATATAAACAGAGAAGTGTTGTTAGCCAAGTCTTTTGTGACCTCTAGCTGGTTTACCTCCAGAACGAATGTATTTATCCATCTTCCAATAACCTTTAATCATCCACCCTGCCCCTGCTAAAGTGGAAGAACTCCTCACCATGATGCTTCCACTTTGGTCACATGTTGTATATTTCAGGATGATTTATAGTATTGTTTTTTCTGCAAACCGTCTCTGTTGATCAGAGCCTATTTCTCCATGTTTGCTGCTGTGTCTCCATCGAAGCTTTCAACATCCTTTCCTGTGCTGTTGGGTATATTTTCAGAAACCCGGTTTTGTTATTACCGACCTTCCATACGTTTCAGATATCCTACCAATTCCGCATGGCATATTCAGAAGTGCACCATATTTAAAGCTTGGGATTGTACGCAAACATGTGAGGCTTTTAGAGAACAGCTGGATTCCTGCAGAGATTACATAAAACACAGGACTATGTTTAAATATTTGGTTTTATCTAGCACAGAATTCAGAATTATCCACAGAATTCAGTTATCACAGATTATATTAAAATGTGTAATCTATCCTCCATTATTAATATATACTGCTTTAATAGAATATTTGACTAAATGCAAAAAAAAATAAAAAATGCTCAAGATGTATTTATATTAGACTGAATATGCAGAGCACAATATTCAGAGATGAAAACATCAACACATTTGAAGTGCAAGGTTTGTTTTAATAATTGCTACATAGATTATTTGCATGACTGAGCGTGCTGTGCTCGCTTCTCAAGGGCCAATGTGGCGTATAGACTAGTCATCTTGCTATTGGAGAGTTGTGGGTTTGATTCCAGCTTCCACCAGTCACATGTTGATTTACCTATGGGCAAGGCACTCAATCCCAAATTGCAAACTGATCCGCAAACTGGTGTTTGAATGCATGCTCGTCTGTGTGTGATTTTGTTACTGCTGCTGTATTCTAACTTAAAGTGTGTTAAATGGTCAGTATGACCACAAACATGCTTTGAAAATAATGAAACATTTTGATGTAATTTATTCACTGGGTTTTTACCATCTGCTAATCACTAGTGAATCAAAGACTACTTCTGCCTCCCACAGAGGCAGTGCAGGTCCTTTTTTTTCTGAATCTGTAGAAATGGAATTATATAAATAACTCACATGGGCACCCATCTGTTGAGCTTAATGGTAGATGTACTGTGCACTGTGTTTATCCCCCTTCTATACCCTGAAAGAAACCAGCATGAATAATTTGTACCTTAAGGTTGTTCCTGGGAAAGATGTCCAGACCAGTGAGAACATGGAAGCTTTTACGCTGACAACACTCAAAAACACAAGCAGTGGTTCCACTGAGAGGCTGCCGCAGGAAAGTGGAGCAAAGCGGTGGAGCTTTTACAGACCGACTTCTACTTATTAATAGACATCCAGTTTACTTTAATGAGACTTCTTTGCTCTGGTTAAATGTGAAGGATTGTGCTATACATAAAATAAGAGAGGGTATTAATGGAGACTTTGGAGATAATTATTTCCTAGATGTTCTGTTTTTTTTATGGATTATTACGTAACTATAAAGTCAACAAACAAACAAAAAATCATAGCAAATATATCACAAGAATAAAGCTTAATTTACTTTTATTTACTTTATTTACCGTATTTTTCAAGTCCTCATCAGATGTTTGCAAGCATATCAACAAAATACATAACTTTAAATTTACTGCAACTTTGATGGGAATAATTATTACTATTTTTGTTCTGTTTGATACGGGAGTACAGCAGCTGAGAGTGGTCGTAACATTTTTTTTCCCTCTGCCTTCTCTAGATAACAACATAACTATCTCGTTTTCATGGTAAAACAATTAATTGTTTTCTCGAGATAACAAGATAATTTTCTCGTTATCACGAGAACACAGTTATTGATTTCTTGAGATAACGAGATAATTAACCTGTATGAGTAATGAATGAGGCTGGCCTTTTTCAGTTTCCTATTTTTTTTCCTCTCATTATCAGGTCATGCTGGATGATTGAATTGCATGGAGTACAGTAGAAACAAATATATTTTTCAATGAAAATATTTAATTTGGATTCATTTTGGGGGGTTAATGCATCTTAGACCTGTTACAGTCGTAACACTGGGGCTGTTCAGAAAAGACCTGGTGCGTGTCAGAGGCAAGGAGTCAAAGGCAATGGTCTAATTGCTTATGATTCAGGAGTGGGAGCAAATCATCAAACCAAAAATGTCTTGTTAACCTAAAGTTAAACACAGGATTATTTACAGAATTACACATAGGCGGTAATGACTTACTTATATATCCTCTCTTGCTGTTGAGGTATTGAAGGATGTTTTAACACACATCAGGAGTAAGAAAATGCTGTGTTCTAATATTCCTATGGACACATCCATGGATATTGCTTTTACCCGGTAATGGACTTGTAACCTACATCCTTCAGCTGCAAACATTAATTCTGTGTAAGAATGGTCAAAATGCCAAAGAGGATTAGTTGAGAAAGGGGTCAAATACATTTTAAAAGTGTGCAGATGTTGCATGTAGGTTACCTAGAAAAAGTATACTTACAGGAGTGATGGAGTGAATTAAGAACAGAAATATGCAATAGTAATAAAAAAATTAACAAGGAATGCCGCAAAAATATTTCTTTCAACAAAATCTTATTATTGGTACTTCATTTTATTTGTCCCTGATATAAACTCTTCTCTGCCACATCAGGAGGAGTCAGCTGAACTGGCTTGAATATATTTTCCGATATCCTCTGGGCACCTCCCTCCCGAGGTGTTGCTGGCACATCCCTCTGGGAGGAGGCCAAGAGGACACCCCAGGATTATGTCTTCTAGTTGGCCTAGGAGCCCTTTGGGTTTTCCCAGCAGAGTTGGAGGAGGAGTCTGGGGAGCAGATAATCTGGGAAATTCTGCTGAGACTTCTGCCCCCACGATCTGGTCCTGGGAAAAAACAGAAGACGAGTATGAGTACATTGTCTTTGCTGAGATGTGACTTCCTTTAATGTGTATTCAATTTCAGGTCTTAGTAATTTGTTCCAAGATATAGTCTTTTGTGAACCTGTATGTTTTCATTTGCTTATTTGATTAGCCACTAATACATCTGAACATCCCCACTTTTAGGACAACAAAGGACATTTCTATTCTATTGCATGCAAGTAGCAATAGATCACAGTTGATGACATGACTTTCACTCTGTGGAAACCTCTCATACTGAACATTAAACATGAATTCAGTGAAGTTATCATGACCTGATTGTGACTGAAATAATGAAACCTTTTACTATTTTTATTTCGCTTAATAGAGGGTACACCCAAAAGTACTTTTGGTGGATTTGCTGTAACTACAGGGATCCAGAAACAAATACAAATAGGTCAAAAGTAGTTTAAAACACTTTATTAGTTGGAGGATTAGGATTTCTACATGGTCCATCAGGGTGCCGCCGGCTGTCGGTTCTCATTCCTACTAGAGCCCGAGAGGTTTAATTATTAGTGCAAGGCATCAGAAAGCCTGCCATCCTACTTTAACAGTGTCCTTCTATCTTGCTAAAAATAGACCCGAGACAGGAGCACACTCGGAGGGGAAAAAGCAGAGTTTGTGAACCATGTATAGTGCATTCAAGTGGGAAGTGGCA